ATAAAAAACAAGCAAGAGATCCTAGCTCTATTAACTGCTTTGTGGAAACCAAAGAAATTGGCTATTGTACATTGCCCTGGGCATCAGAAACCAACTACGCCAATTGCTCGAGGCAACTTCTTAGCCGACCAAACCGCAAGGAGCATAGCAAAAGCTCCCAGTCAGCTCCTCGCGCTCCAGCTCCCCGATCCTGGCCCGCGAAATTTGCCATGTTTTCCCGACTATACCGAACAGGATCGCGAATGGATGAACACGCTTCCCCTAAAACAGGTTAAAAATGGGTGGTGGACTGATATAAATGACCAAACCATCCTACCAGAAAAATTAGGACGGCAGGTGTTGGAACACATCCACCGGACAACCCACCTGGGTGCCCGGCGAATGATGGACTTAATCAGGCACGCCAAGTTTAGAATCAGGCGCATAGCTGAACTGGCCAGCGATGTCACAACAAATTGCAAAGCCTGCCAACTAAACAACGCTTGCCCCCAAACCCAGACCGCCACAGGAATTAGGTGTAGAGGAACTAGGCCTGGTATCTATTGGGAAATAGACTTTACTGAGATAAAGCCTGGAAAATATGGGTATCAGTACTTACTTGTCTTTGTAGATACTTTTTCAGGATGGACAGAAGCGTTCCCAACTAAGAGAGAAACTGCTCAGGTTGTAGCAAAGAAAATTTTGGAAGAAATCCTCCCCAGGTATGGCTTTCCCGTCCAAATAGGGTCAGACAATGGACCAGCCTTCGTTGCTAAGGTAAGTCAGGATTTGGCTTCCATTCTGGGGGCAAATTGGAAATTACATTGTGCTTATAGGCCCCAAAGCTCAGGACAGGTAGAAAGGATGAATCGGACTCTGAAGGAGACCTTAACTAAATTGACCATGGAGACTGGCGCTAATTGGGTAGTACTTCTCCCCTACGCTCTGTTCCGGGCCCGAAATACCCCTTACAGACTAGGCCTCACACCATATGAAATCATGTATGGCAGACCCCCACCCCTGGTCCCCAGTCTAAAAGATGACTTACTCAAACCTGAAACTGAAAATGTCTCTGAGCTCCTGTTCTCCTTACAAGCCTTACAGAAAATTCACCAGGAAATTTGGCCCAGACTACGAGAACTGTACGAGGCAGGACCTCCGCCGACGCCTCATCCGTTCCAGCCGGGAGACTGGGTCCTAGTCAAGCGCCACCGGCAAGAAACTCTTCAACCCAGGTGGAAAGGACCACTGCAAGTACTCCTGACTACTCCCACCGCTCTCAAAGTAGAAGGCATCGCTTCGTGGATCCACTACACACACGTCAAACCAGTGGACCCAACATCCGACCTTCTCGAGCCGTCTGGAGCACCGGTTACATGGACTGTAGACAAAGCTAAGAACAATCCCTTAAAGCTAACCCTGCGCCGTCATCCCCATAGCCGTAACCATGTCTAGCTTACCTATGCTTTTATGCCTTATGCATCTGACTCTCCTCACTGCTGCGCCGTCTAATCCCTATGTCTGGAGGTTCTGGCTCTATGAAAACAAAACTCACCCCGGGGAAACCCCCCAAGCGGGTAAACTGCTAGCTAGCGCAGACTGCCCCCCCTCAGGGTGTAATACTATAGTTTACCTCAATTTCACTAGGTTCCAGATTGCCCAACCAGCAACACCCATGATCTGTTTTGAATATGATCAAACTGAATATAATTGTAAAAATTATTGGTGGCACCAGAGTGCAGGTTGCCCATATAGCTACTGTAAGACGCACTCTGTCCGATACTGGAGAGAACGACAAGGGTGGTATTTTTACAAAACTGAGTCTCCCGTCACTTACACTTGGATAATTAGAGACCCATGGGACTCTCGGTGGACAACCCCACAACATGGGGGAGTATATTACTCATCAACTAGTACCTGGCCCAGTAGCCATTTATATCTGTGGAGAAGTCTAGTCCAGATTCAACCCTTAATCCACACACAAATCCACAGGCAAGAAACCAAGTTATCACAAGACTTGCAGCCCTTCTCCTGGCTAACTCTATTACGGGAAGGGCTAGCATTCGCCAACCTCACTGGTTTAGGCGACCTGTCCTCTTGCTTTATGTGTGCAACCCTAGGAAGACCACCATTAACGGCTGTTCCTCTATCCTCCCCTCCCACAAACTATACAGGTTTTAACTCATCGATAGTCACGATACCCGATGTAGCCCTGTACCGTGACCCATACCAAGAGAAATACCCCTATTGTTATTCGGCATTTAGCAACAGCCTCTGCAACCAATCGGCTACATACCCTAATAGTCCCATATATGCTCCCCCTGGTGTGTTCTTCTGGTGTAATATGACTCTGTTAAAAACTCTGTCCAAAAGCATCTCTGACGGACAGTTGTGTATCCCTGTTACCCTAGTTCCCCGACTGACACTGCTAACCCCGGCAGAGTTCATAGGCTGGGCAGGGACCGCCCCAACTAAAACTGCACGACATAGACGAGCAGTTTTTCTACCACTAATTGCCGGAATATCCTTAACCACCTCTGTCGTCGCAGCGGGGTTAGCAGGAGGGGCCCTACAACACTCCATGATAGAAAACGACAAGCTGTTACAACAATTCTCTGTTGCTATGGAAGACTCCGCCTATTCCCTAGCCTCCCTTCAGCGGCAGCTCACCTCCCTAGCACAGGTCACCCTTCAAAACCGCAGAGCCTTAGACTTACTCACGGCTGAGAAAGGAGGTACCTGTATGTTCCTCAAAGAAGAATGCTGTTTCTATATAAATGAGTCAGGGTTAGTTGAGGAAAGAGTCCAACGCCTACACGAACTAAGCTTAGAAATGAAAAAGCAACAATTCACTACAGCCGCTAACAATTGGTGGAGCTCTTCAATGTTTTCCCTTCTGGCACCCCTTTTAGGCCCCCTAATGTCTTTACTACTTCTATTCACTATAGGCCCCTGTGTGGTAAATAAAATTTTACAATTTGTCAGAGAAAGGTTTGATACCATCCAACTAATGGTCCTCCGTAGCCATCACCAGCCTCTCCTGCACCCAGAAAGTGAGGCTATATTATAAGACTCTGGAAATCCAAGATTGGACATCCAGTTACTTATGAGAAGGGAGAAATGAAAGGACACAAAGATAGATGTGTACCCGCCCCCCACCCGCTACACCCTTGTTCTGCTCTCTAATCTTTGCACGTACCAGAGGTTTTGTAAGTTCTGTAAGTACATGTTTCTCTTTCTGAGGCCAGGTCACAAGGAATGTTTAAGTAAGATAGCCAGGTCACAAGGTGTGTTTAAGCAAGATAGCCATAAACTGGTCGTGCAACCTGATGCAATATAATTAACTGCCTTTGTGTAAAACTGCTCTTCTGCCTCAAGGGTTGTACTGAAATATCAGAAATGGCGGGAACCAATCATAGTTTGCCAAATCGCTTTGTTCAAACTCCAGCCAATCATACCTTTAATTTGTATAATGATTCTATGCCTACTTTCCTTAGACTATATAACATTGTTCGGAGCTCAGTAGGGGAGCTCTCCTGCCCGTCTCGTTTCACGAGCAAGTGAGAGCTCCAGGTTCGAACCTGTAATAAAGATCCTTGCTGCTTAGCTTTGACTCTGGACTCTGGTGGTCTTCTTCGGGGAATAAACGGTCTGGGCATAACAGAACTTGTGACACATCTGGTTTCTCTCTGCTGCTGAGATAATTGGAAGGATAAAAATATTGAGCACCTTGTTTGAAAAAATACTGTTTATATTTGCAAAGATCCTTTCATTCTAGGGAGAATGTATGCTTTATTATCTATTCATTGAGCTCTATAGAACATACCAGCATTTCTCTCATAGCCGAGCTGTTTTAAATATTAAGGTAAAATATACAACACAGGAAGCTCTTCAAGAAAGGCCAATTAAAGTGTAGCCGTTTAGAGACAACTCAAGATGATGAAATTACTTTAAGTGCCACTTTGAACCCAATTTAAGAAGTGTGCCATATTTAGAATGCAATTTTTAGGTTATTTAATTAATATCCAGTGGAGTATTGGAATACAGTTGGGAGTAATATGAGGAATCTGGCAGGCTTCTGAGCATCCCAGTGGATTACAGGTGGGAACTTGCTTTCCAGTTTGTGAGGAGAGCAAAGACCTAATAATCCTAAAGGGAAATTGAAATGAAGTAAGATAGTTTATTAAGTAATAATGCATTTTTGACTTGATAAAATGGTAAAACTTTCTGGAAAATTAAATGGTCTTCCAAAATTTCTCATACATTTGAAAAATAAACCTGATCGAAATAGCATGTGTTGTCCTGGCATGGTGGCTCATGCCTGTAATCCCAGCACTTTGGGAGGCTGAGGTAGATGAATCATGAGGTCAAGAGTTCAAGACCAGCCTGGCCAACATAGTGAAACCCCGTCCTTACTAAAAATACAAAAAATTAATTGGGCGTAGTGGTGGGCACCTGTAATCCCAGCTACTCGGGAGGCTGAGGCAGGAGAATCGCTTGAACCTAGGAGGCGGAGGTTGCAGTGAGCAGGATCGTGCCACCGCACTCCAGCTTAGGTGACAGAGCTAGACTCTGTCTCAAATAAATAAATAAATAGCATATGTTACTATATGTGTTAATTACATGTGTTCAGGCTGGGCACAGTGGTTCACGCCTGTAATCCCAGCACTTTGAGAGGCTGCAGCTGGCAGATCACTTGAGGTCAGGAGTTCTAGACCAGTATGGCCAACATGGTGAAACCCTATCTCTACTGAAAATACAGAAATTAGCCAGGTGTGGTAGCGGACGCCACTACACTCCAGCCCAGGTGACGGAGTCAAGAGTTCATATCAAAAAAGAAAAAAAAAATGACATGTGTTAATATAATTTTGAACATCGTATTTGCTTACAGAAATAAAACCACTGGGTAAAAATCTATAGCATTCATACTAACTTTGGAGAGAGTTTTGGCTAATGGGCTATGATGTGTACTAACAGTATCTGTTTACCTTTCTGAATTATTCATCTTTCTTGTCTTTCAGTTTTAGAGAGAGCGTTTTCGCTACGTAAAGTACATTCAATAAAGGATATGGAAAATACTTTGCAGCTGGTGAGAAATATTATCCCTCCTCTGTCTTCCACAAAGCACAAAGGACAAGATGGAAGAATAGGCGTAGTTGGAGGCTGTCAGGAGTAAGTAACTGATGTGCAACGTTGGTGTTTAAAGTCAGCTGCTGGCTGGCTGCTTACCTGCCTGTCATTCACGCCGTCTAGTTTGACCTCAGTAATCATTTCCAAGTGCAGCCTGATAGGACACTCAGTATTTTTCAGTGATCCACTTTTTCATTAACTAGGAAACAACTCTGAGGAGCTCTGCCTGAAGTGTTCCCTCGTGTGTGTCAGTGTTAAGTTTTGCTTGTAGTGGGGGAATGAGCCTGTTTTTCCACTTTTTGCTTTTCCGTATTTAACCGGACTTCATACCACAAGCATGTTTTTTGTGTTTAGGATAGAAACGCTCAGCAGCCTGTGGGTTTACTTTGTCAATTTAAAGATGTTACTGAAAGTCATTTACGAAATTTGACAAATCCCCAGCTTGCCTCCGTTCTGTTTTGCTGCTGTGTTTGGTGCGTAGCTGTTTGTAAGTTGTCCTTGGGTGTGAAGGATACCTTCTGCCTCTGACGGAAATCTCTTGCTGCTTGCTTTCTGTTTGCATGTGTGTGGTATCTCTCTTTGCCCATCCCTCCATTTGCAGCTGTTGGTCGTGCCATCGGGTGTGTTGAGAGTTGTGACTGGATCAGGTGTGCATGCATTTACATGCTGGTGCCGCTGCTGAATCGGACCTCCATTGTGTTACTGTGAGCTGCTTCCCAAGAGCACCTGCCCTGCAGCCCTTGGAGGACAACCTTTGCTAGTCAAGTCGACAGACTTCTTGTGTTCATGCATTTCTCTTATTAGTGAGGCTCGTTTTCACATGATGTGAGAGGGTGTGCATGTATGTTGCCTGGTCTGTCCTTTCTTTTGCATTTACAACACTTTCTGTTGACACCGCTTTGCAGGAGAAGGCCATGTAAGGTGACCTGTGTCAGCATTTGCCCAGGTCTGTTTTTCTTGAGTTAGCAAAACATTTCACTGCTCGGAATGGGCATAAAGGTTGCATTTGCCCATCTGATGCCAGGACAAGGCTCTTCCTTTCTGTGCCTGAAGTGCCCTTAGACCTGGAGTGCAGCGAGTCCAGAACAGTGAGGTGGAGGCAGCTGGGTGTGGGTGCTGTTTCTTGTTTGTCCTGAGTGGCCCCCGTCCGGCCTCTGCTGACTGTTACTCTGGGAGGACGGGGTCTGCCCGATCTGGGACCCTCTCCATGCCCGACTGCTCTGAACATGTGGTTGTCACTTTCTTCTCTCTGGGCAGAAGCCTGCGGTCAGCTCCTTACCTTGAACATTCACATTGCAGAGAGACTGCAGGCATTACGTAAGCCAGAGATTCCCTCTCCTGAAATGCATGAAGGTTTTATGTAAAAGATCGACATTGCTGGCTGGGCGCTGTGGCTCATGCCTGTCATCCTAGCACTTTGGGAGGCCAAGGCGGGTAGATCACCTGAGGTCGGGAGTTTGAGACCAGCCTGACCAACATGGAGAAACCCTGTCTCTACTAAAAATACAAAATTAGCTGGGGGTGGTGGCACATGCCTGTAATCCCAGCTACTTGGGAGGCTGAGGCAGGAGAATCGCTTGAACCCAGGAGGCAGAGGTTGCAATGAGCCGAGATTGCGCCATTGCACTCCAGTCTGGGCAACTAGAGTAAAACTCCGTCTCAAAAAAAAAAAAAAAGAAAAGATAGACATTTCTAGTCTAACCCAGTTCATGTTCGTTGAACATTTACTGAGCATCTTCTAGGCGTTGGGTTTGTGCTCTGTGCTTCATGTCTGTTATTTATTGATAAACCATGTCTATATTATTTATGCCTATTTTTTATTGATAAACTATTTATTGATCAAGGTATGCTTACCTTATCCTGAGAAGTTTTTGACTCTAAATACCTTCTTTTTAGGTACACTGGAGCCCCATATTTTGCAGCAATCTCAGCTCTCAAAGTGGTATGTTTACTTAAAAGTTCTTCATTGGGATTTTTCTGGTGGAGAGTTTGATTAAATAATGATTAAAGCAAATGTTTTCTGATAGAAATCTAAATAACTTCTTAAGGTAATCATAGATAATAGAAACACCCTTAAGTCTATCCTGACATCCTATGCATGAACAAGATCACTTCAATTGAAGCCCATTTTTGTTTTTTTCTTTTTTCTGAGATGGAGTTTTGCTCTTGTCGCCCAGGCTGGAGTGCAGTGGCACGATCTCAGCTCACAGCAACCTCCGCCTCCTGGGTTCAAGCCATTCTCCTGCCTCAGCCTCCCGAGTAGCTGGGATTACAGGCACCTGCCACCAAGCCCGGCTAATTTTTTTTGTATTTTTAGTAGAGATGGGTTTTCTCTGTGTTGGTCAGGCTGGTCTCAAACTCCTGACCTCACGTGATCTGCCCGCCTTGGCCTCCCAAAATGCTGGGATTACAGGCATGATCCACTTCACCTGGCCTCAATTGAAGCCCATTTTTAAAACCTAAAGTGTGATTTGTATTGTACTCCACCAAAGTGAACCTGGGATGCCTTTGTAGGTCCCAGCTGAAGCAGTTGATCCTGCAGTTTCCCATGCACGAAGCAAGTGCTAATGACCGGCCTCTTTCTGTGACCCTTCCTCCTGGAGGGTGACCAGGCTGAGCTGGGCTGTGCTGGTGTGTGTGGCTCTGACCCTGCCTCTGTGGCGGCGGCAAAAGTCTTTCTTGTATTGTGCTATGCGCCCTGGCCCTTTGCTAAGCCACCTGGCTGGGTGTAACCCGAACTAGTACGTTTCTCGCGCATGTCACCAGGGCACTGGACACCTGTGTCTGGTGGGTGGGCAGCGATGCCGGAGCCTTCCGGGGCCTGTGGACCAGGTTCCTGAGTCAGCCTCTTGTGCTCCTTCTTCAGGGCGCAGATTTGTCCCACGTGTTCTGCGCCAGTGCGGCCGCGCCTGTGATTAAGGCCTACAGCCCGGAGCTGATCGTCCACCCAGTTCTGTGAGTCGCTCTGCGCCGGGTTCTCGTGGGTTCTCTTTCCCTCCTGCACCATTTGGGGTTTTTGCACTGACACCAGAAGTGTCTGATGGATTTTCCATCCTCTGAGTTTGTCAGCAGGTGCTGTAAAGGAAGTAGGGAACAAAAGAGCCCATTCTTCTGTGGTCAGAATAAGACAAACACGGAGGGGTGAGAGGTGGGTTGGGGGGACTTGGGCCTGTTGGAAATGGCCGGGGCCCAGCTCCAGAGGCAGTGAGGCCCTGTGGGCTGTGTCTGACAGGTTTGCAGAAGGTGGAAACGAAGGGCCGCTGAGCAGTAACAAGACCTTTCGTGCACTCAGCAGGTATGTCTGGTGCCAGGCCGTAGCCTGCGTTCCATGGGTCAGCGTCAAACTGGGCAGGCAAACACCTGCCCCCGTGAGGCTCCTCCAGACAGCCTGTGCTGTAGAGCTTGCTGCGTGGAGGTGTTCTCTCTGCCGTCCAGGATTGTGGCCACTGAGTGCTTGAAATGTAGCTGGGAGGTGCAGGAGCGGAGCGTTTGCTCTTGTTTGCTTTTAATTGTGTGTGTTCACATAGACTGCATTGGGCTGCGCTGCTCTGGAGACAGACAAGGGAGAGCAGGATGTCAGGTGGTGAAGGAACCGCAGAGAGCGGCAGCAGGGAGGGGGTTGTGAGAGTGGGCAGGGGGGTGGTTGGGGCGGCAGCACAGTGTGATGGCGCCTGGGTAGAGCCCGGCCTCTCCACACCGGGGAGGAGCTGGCGCAGAGCTCCAGGTGGGGCGCTGTGATGTGTCGGGTGACCAAGAGGTGCAGGGCTGGGCCCCACAGGGTGTGGGGCTGCTGTTAGGGCTGTGGCTGTGGCACTGAGTGGGCAGGGCAGGGCCAGTGTGGCTCATAAAGGCTCCTTGGCGGCTGTTGGGCTGGGCCCCTGGGGCCGGGGTGGAGGCTGTGTTAAGGGCCTGTGGGAGGGAAGGGTGCAGTTAGATGGTGAGAGGGGTCAGATTCTGGGTATGTTTGGAAAGTTTGGGGGCGGAATTTGCTGACAGATTGGATTGGAAAAGGCAGGTGGCACGGACTCCACCAAGGGTTTTGGTCTGAGCGAGGTGTCACTCCACGTGGTGGAAAAACGGGCTTGGGTGGGATGAAGATGAGGCATTGGGTGTGGGGTGCAGTTTGGCTGCCAGTCAGACATCCAAGGGATGTGGCTAGTGGGCATTGGACAGTGGGGACATGGACTTGGGAGTCATGCACATGTGGACGGTGCTTAAAACTGGAAGATGAGGGAGTAAGAGGCAGAGGGGTGCTGGGTAGGGGGCTTGGCACTCAGATGCTGGGAGCATGGGCTGGGGAGGAGGCAGCAGGGGCTTCAGGAGTCAGTGAAGCCGCTGTTTCCAGACAGTACTAGAAGGGCCTATGTGTGCCACTCTGGGTCAGTTTGAGATGAGGCCTGAGAACAGATGGTGCATCTCACAGTGTAGGGTTCTTGGTGACCCTGAGAAGGGAGCTTGTCAGGGAGGAAAGGGGACAGAAGCCTTAACAGTGGGCTCAAGGAGAGGACACACCAAACAGGAAGGAGGTCAGAAAAAGCAAAACCCTGCCTTGTTCTGAATGAGAAACTGCAGCAGGATCAGTGCATTGTGTGGGGCCTGGTGTGTAAGCACACAACATAGGCTTTACAGCCACACGTGTATGTGATAGAAACAAACTGGCTATTTTGAAAATAGCCATCACTCTTTTTCTGACTTAACTGTTGAAAGCTGGGCATCTAAATCTGGGCATTAAAAGATAGATCAGGGAGAGGCAATGGCCACATGCAGTGTGGGGCTGGTTTGGGTCCTGAAACGGGAAGTGGACATCAAGAGGAAACGGGAAATTTGGAAAATGCCGTGGTTTAATGAATGGTATTGAACCAATGTGAAGTTAGTTATGCTGATCTGGAATGTGGGTGTGTGAGGCGTTAACCTCAGGGGAGGCTGGGCAAAGGGTACATGGGAGCCTTCTGTACTGATTAAATAATAAATCTAAATTACAGAAATTATTTAAAAGTCATTAGTATTTGTAAGTTATTTTTTCAAAATAAAATGTAAACAAATACATGACAGTAAATAAATGAGGAGTTGTGGGTAACCATCCTGGCCTTCCTTTCCTTCTTTAGCGACAGCCCCAGTGCTGTTGATGAGGTGGAGAAGTGGCTCCCCCGGCTGCACGCTCTTGTCGTAGGACCTGGCTTGGGTAGAGATGATGTGCTTCTCAGAAATGTCCAGGTAATGTGTATACTCACTCACTTTCCTCATGACAGGCTTAGCCCGTAGGCGTGAAGTTGGAACAGAGGCATTTCTCTTCCTTTTTGTGTAGTGTTCTATCGGGAGAACCCGCTCCCGATGTTTAACGCGGGTTCTTTTCTATTTCCTAAGTGTCTCGGCTGGGTTGAGAAATAAAGGGAAAGAGCACAAGAGAAAGAAATTTAAAGCTGGGTGTCCAGGGGAGACATCACATGTCGGCAGGATCCGTGATGTTCCCCCAGCCGTAAAACCAGCAAGTCTTTATTAACGATTTTCAAAAAGGGGAGGGAGTGCACGAATAGGGTGTGGGTCACAGAGATCACATACTTCACAAGCTAATAAAATATCACAAAGCAAATGGAGGCAGGGCGAGATCACAGGACCACCGGATGAGGAGAAATTAAAATTGCTAATGAAGTTTCAGGTACACATTGTCATTGATAACATCTTATCAGGAAACAGTGTTTGAGAGCAGACAACCTGTCTGACCACAATTTATTAGGTGGGAATTTTCCCGTCCTAGTAAGCCTGGGAGCACTATAGGAGACCAGGGCTTATTTAAGGGCCTGTCTATAGGCCTACCTTCAGGGCGCATTCTCTTTCTCAGGGATGTTACTTGCTGAGAAAAAGAATTCAGCGATATTTCTCTTATTTGCTTATGAAAGAGGAGGAATATAGCTCTGTTCCGTCCGGCTCACCGGCGGCCAGTTCAAAGTTACCTCTCTTGTTCCCTGAACATCGCTGTTAGCCTGTTCTTTTTTTAAGATGCCCAGATTTCATATTCAAACACACATGCTCTACAAACAGTTTTTGCAGTTGACACAATCACAGGGTCCTGAGGCGACATTCATCCTTTTCAGCTTACAAAGAAGATGACGGGATTAAGAGATTAAACGAGATTAAGAGATTGAAGTAAAGACAGGCATAGGAAATCACAGGGGTATTGATTTGGGAAGTGACAAATGTTCATGAAATCTTTACAATTTATGTTCATAGATTACAGTAAAGACAGGTTTAAGAAACTACAAAAGTATTAATTTGGGGAACTAATAAATGTCCATGAAATCTTCACAATTTATGTTCTTCTGCCGCGGCTTCAGCCGGTCCCTCCGTTCGGGGTCCCTGACTTCCCGCAACAGTGTTCTGTGCGCCTCTTCATGGCATGATTGCGATAAGATTTGAGGGACGGAGGAGAAACAGTGCAAAGGTGGTGAGAAGCTGTGCTGACATCTGCTTCCCTCCGGGCCCAACTGCTTCTCACGGAGCAGCTGCAGGTGTGTGTGGAGTTGCTCTGATGTTTTATGCCTGATGTGAGGAGAGGGTGAGCAGCATTGAGGAGCTGACAGATGTTTGGGGTCAGGCCTGAGTGTACCTCCCAGGCCACCCCCTTCTCGCTGGGGACCGTGGGGTTCCCTCAGCCTCCTCCCCGCACAGCCCTGGTGCCATGCTCTGCTGACATCAGGCTGTGAGGTGACACGGCCAGCTTGTCCGTGTCCACATGCATGCACATGTACTCTCATTGATGCTGCTGTTTATTTCTTCAAGTTCATCTTATGCCCACCTGAATCCAAAAAGATGAAAATTATTCTGATCACTTTGTGTCTGCTGTAAATAAATACCACCTGGGATCAGGGGCAGTAAAAACATGGGATGGCTGTCAGCTGTGTGTTCCCTGCATCCTCTGATGCTCCCTGGGCTGGTGTGTGTCTCTGCTAGGGGTTGTGCTCCTGTGGGGATGCATCTCAGGGACTGCCCTCTGAGGCCCTTTCTCGAGTTCCAGGGGACCCCTGTTAGAGCTCCTGGGGGAAGACACAGTGTGCCAGACAGCCTGGTGCCGCAGGGCGCTCACATGTGCAAGGCGTGGTGCTTGCATGGGGATCAGAGGCCGGGCATTAGTGAGGGACTGTGCTTAAAGCCCTTAGAAAGTGCCTGGCCATTCTGTGTTCCCCAGATCAGCAGTCACCCTGAAAATGCCAACCATCCTCATGGCACTCTCTTGAGTGCTTAGTTAACGGAGGGGTCTCTGAGGCTGCGGGGCTTGAAGGCGGCGAGTGACGGAGCCAAGCAGTGCAGAATGAGTCATCTGAGAGGCAGGCAGACGCAGGCTGGCACTGCACAGACCAGGGAAAGCAGCATGGAGTTAGCACCGGAGCCCGACTTTGAGCTTTAAGGTCTCACCCGCTCACCGAGAAGTAGGAGGTGGCCGTGTTTAGGAGCAGGAGAACCCTCTGTCATCCCCGGGGAGAGGCTGTCAGTGGGGAGTCCCATCTGCAAGCTGTGGGTCTGCGGTGCACGGCTGCTGCTCCCTGTCCAGCTCTGCATCCTGGGGGTGCGGATGAATTAAAGGTGAAAAAGCCAGAGTTCTCTGCTTCAGGTTCTTTTCTTTGTGAATTTAGTTCATAATTTAAAAACTGGTGTCTTAGAAAGCCACTCTGCAGCGCGGAAGTGTGAAAGGTGGGAGGTGAGGGCGTCCATCGCTGCCCCTGCTGCCCAGACTCCGGACCTTGCCTTCGGGTTCCCGCACACTCTCACCGTGGTCATCTAGTGTGGGCCGCCGCCGCCTTGTCAGCTTCCAGCTCGTGCCTGGGGCGGAGCAGAGGCTTCCTACTTCGTCGACATTCCTGAATGAGGTCGTCATCTGGTGTAGGCCTGAAAACAACCCAATTAGGTCGATTTCTATTCATATCCCCATTCTTCTGATGACAAATTGAGTCCTGGCAAGGGTTCAAGACGCCCGCAGGGTCTCATAGCAAGGAAATTGCAGAGGTGGTTTTTTAAAAGCGACTTTATTTAGATGATTTACCTACCATACCCTTCACCCATTTAAAGTGAACTGTTCGGTAGCTTCATGTATATTCACAGTTGTGCAACCATCACCATGATCAGCCTTAGAATATGTTTATTGCCTTCAGAAGCAGCCCATCCCCGTTAGCATCTGCTCCCTGCTCCCCAGTCTCCCCAGTTCCTGGCAGCCACTCAGCTAGTACGCTGTCTGCCTCTCTGGATTCGCCTGTTAGGACATTTCATATGAATGGAATTACGCAACGTGTGCTGTTTAGTGACTAGTTACGTCACTCTGCATAATTTTATATTTAGAGTTACCTGTGCAGTAGCATGTATCAGTACTTCATTCCTTTTTCTACCTCTAACATTTCATTGCATGGATACACCACCTTTGCTTTATCTGTTCACTAATTTATGGAAAATTGGTTTCCACTTTTTGTGTGGATGTGTTTTCACTCTCCTGGGTGTCAGTGTTTCACAATTTGAGGCCCTGCCACTGTCTCCCATAGCGGCTGCGCTATTTTCCATTCCCTCCAGCAGTGTGCAAGGCTCTGATTCGCCACATTGTCCCCAGCACTCGTTACTGTTGTTGTCTATTAGCAGCCACTCTAGTGGGCGTGGAGTGACCTCACTGTGGTTTGGTTTGCGTTTTCCTGGCCGCTGATACTGTTGAGCATCTTCGCATGGGCTCATTGGCTGTTTGGGTATCTTTTTTTGTTTTCTTTTTTTTGAGACAGATTCTCATTCTGTCACCCAGGCTGGAATACAATGGCATGATCTTGGCTCACTGCAATCTCTGCCTCCTGGGTTCAAGTGATTCCTTTGCCTCGGCCTCCCGAGTAGCTTGGACTACAGGCACCCACCATCACACCCAGCTAATTTTTGTATTTTTAGTAGAGATGGGGTTTCACCATGTTAGCCAGGCTGGTCTTGAACTCCTGACCTCAGGTGTCTGCCCGCCTCAACCTCCCAAAGTGCTGGGATTACAGGCGTGAGCCACCATGCGTGGCCTCTTTGGGTATCTTCTTTGGAGAAGTGTCTGTTCTCATACCCTTTCCCCATTTTGAACACTGCCTTTTTATTATTGACTTTTAGGAGTTCTTCATATACATTCTAGACACAGGTTCCTTATCAGACTATTTGCTGATATCCTCTCATTCTGTAGGTTGTCTCTTCACTTCCTTGATGGTTTTGTTTACACACAGATTTTTAATTTTGAAGTCCAATTTAGCTGTTTTTTCTTTTGTCCCTTGTGCTGTTGGTGTCTTATCTAAGAAGCATATGCCTAACCCAAGGTTTACTCCTACATTTTAAGAGCCTTATTGTTTTGGCTGTTACATTTAGCTCTGTGGTGCGTGCTGAGCTGATGGTGTGGTAGAAGGAAGGCTGCGGCATCAGGCTTTTGCTTGTGGGTGTCCCATTGTTGCAGCACCCTGTGTTGGAGAGACTCTTCTTTCCTCCCGACTTGTCTTGTCATCCTACCTGAGAATCCGTTGACCCTAAATGTGAGGGCTTATTTCTGGACTCTTGTTTCTGTTCTGTTGGTCTGTATAGCTGTCCTGCAACTGCCCAGTCTTGACTGCTGTGGCTGCATAGGAAGCCTGGACATCAGAAAGCCCGCGTCCTCCACATTCGTTCTTTTCAAGGTTGTTTCGGCTCTCCCGCGCCCTGTGCGTTCCAGTTTTGGATCAGCTTGCTGATTGGTGGAGCAGGCAGCTGGGATTTTGGTAGGGATGATGTTGAAACGGAAGATCAGTTGGGGAATGTCTAACAACATTAAGTCTTCTGGCTCCTGGGCTGACTTTGAACCCACGTTGTCTGAATCTAGAGCGCAGGCTCTTGACCAATGCACCTGTCCTCACACTGTGCTCTTTTCACACGCATTAACAGTGTGTCCTGGTCCTCACACTGTGCTCTTTTCACACGCATTAACAGTGTGTCCTGGTCCTCACACTGTGCTCTTTTCACACGCATTAACAGTGTGTCCTGGTCCTCACACTGTGCTCTTTTCACACGCATTAACGGTGTGTCCTGGTCCTCACACTGTGCACTTTTCACACGCATTAACGGTGTGTCCTGGTCCTCACACTGTGCACTTTTCACACGCATTAACGGTGTGTCCTGGTCCTCACACTGTGCACTTTTCACACGCATTAACGGTGTGTCCTGGTCCTCACACTGTGCACTTTTCACACGCATTAACGGTGTGTCCTGGTCCTCACACTGTGCACTTTTCACACGCATTAACGGTGTGTCCTGGTCCTCACACTGTGAACTTTTCACACGCATTAACGGTGTGTCCTGGTCCTCACACTGTGCACTTTTCACACGCATTAACGGTGTGTCCTGGTCCTCACACTGTGCACTTTTCACACGCATTAACGGTGTGTCCTGGTCCTCACACTGCACTTTTCACACGCATTAACGGTGTGTCCTGGTCCTCACACTGTGCACTTTTCACACGCATTAACGGTGTGTCCTGGTCCTCACACTGTGCACTTTTCACACGCATTAACGGTGTGTCCTGGTCCTCACACTGTGCACTTTTCACACGCATTAACGGTGTGTCCTGGTCCTCACACTGTGCACTTTTCACACGCATTAACGGTGTGTCCTGGTCCTCACACTGTGCTCTTTTCACACACATTAACAGTGTGTCCTGGGGACTTTCACGGCAGGGTATGTGATATTCCTCATTATTTTTAACAGCTACATCAGAATTTACTACGGATCTACTGCAGTGTGTTTAACTAGTTCATTCACACTGTTTTCCGCTTTTTTCGTGTTAACATCAGTGGTGTCCTGAACCTATGTATTTTGTCCACTCTTTTGGGTGTTAGAAGATAAATTTTTAGAAGTTCCGTTGCTGAATCGAAGAGTATGGACGTTTCAGTTTTGGAGAGATGCCTCCAGATTTCTCCCTAGCATACCGTGGTTTGCTTTCCCACGGGTGGGGACACCCTGCTGCGCTGGGTGCTCTGATGCGCGTATCTTTCTAGGAGACCCATGTAACACTGCATTTTCCAGGGTTTGAATGTTCACTTTTGACTACTCTTTGCGAATACATTAAAAGAAAACACAGAAACAGATGAAAATGTCAGATTGTTGCCAAATCCTGCAACACGAAATCAGAAGCTGATCTAAAATCTGAACTAGCAGAAGCCTGCCGGCTTTACCGGTGAAGCCAAACTCAGGGCAAGCAGAGAATTTTTATTGTTAATAAAGGAAATCAGCTTCAGGAAGTCTCAGGTACCCACCTCCTGGGAACGGGCTTCAGGACACACTGCTAATGCTCCGACCCGTGTCAGAGCCAGGTATACGCTTCCCCACAGCTGGAATGGGCGTCACAAACAAGCTGGAACGAGCGCTTCGTTAGGCGAGCAGCTAACGCTTTGTCAGCTTTCAACTTTCATTTCACATACCTGACGTTAATTTTCAATACCTTAAATTATTCTGACTTGGCATGTATTTTGTTTAATGCTCTCTATCTTAATGTTTTCTACTATCAGGTGTCTATCAAGTCAAGATCACTTTACATGCTACTGCGGCATATAATCTTATCACAATATATTGGTTCATAATAATAAAAGCCACCAAATATTGATTACATATACGTGTATGTATCTATACATCTATTTTTTTTTTTTTTAATAGAAAACCTTTGACACCTTCACTGTAATCCTATCAGGGAAAAATGATTCTGTTTATTATTGTCACTTACTACTTTAAAATATGTAAGTAAAGTGATATGAAAAATACATCATGACTAATGATTTGGGGAATTCTCAGGAATTCAGATTTCTCGCCTCCGAATGCTGCGGATTAGTATCTGTTGGAGAACTGGAAGCCCTCGCTGGGGCGGGGGGTGTGTCTTCATGAGTTAGCCTAAGAGCCCAGCTGTTGTTTATAGCATTTCCACTGGGCTTTGCCTTTCAGAGTTCCCAGTGTCCTGCCTTATTTAGGGGCTCTGCTAGTTCATTGGGTCTTTCTGCTTCTCTATTTTATTCATTTACTTGATTATTTTCCATTTATTGTTTGATGACCTGATGTTGCATTTAATTAAGAGTCTGCTCAATGTTCTTTCACTGCTGTTGGGAAAAGCGTCTTAGTCTGTTTCGTGCTGCTATAGCAGTGCCACCGACTGCGTAACTGACAATGAACAGGCGCTTACTGGCTCGTAGTTCTGGAGGTGGATGTCCACCTGGCGAGGGCAGAAGGGCAGGAGAGAGACCCTTTATGCCCCTTTTAAAGGTCATTAAACCCACCCATGAGGGCACTGCCACATCACCTTTTAAAGGCTCCATCTCCCAGGACCCTTCCATTGGCAATTAAGTTTCACCGTGAGTTTTCAGGAGACACCATCCACACCATAGCAGAGGCAGCAGGCGTGGTACTCAGCCTGGTTTTCTCTTCTGGCAGGGCATTTTGGAAGCATCAAAGGCCAGGGACATCCCTGTCGTCATTGACGCGGTGAGTTGACCTCTCTCCTCCTGGCTCGGACTCCCGGAAGGCCTGTGCAGTGAGCACGGCTCCTTGTTCTGTGCAGGACGGCCTGTGGCTGGTCGCTCAGCAGCCAGCCCTCATCCAAGGCTACCAGAAGGCGGTCCTCACCCCCAACCACATGGAGTTCAGCAGACTGTATGATGCTGTGGTGAGTCAGTGGACTCCCTGGAGGGTGGATGCAAGCCCCATTCGTCCTGAAGAGGGTGAAGGACGCGCTCCATGCTTCTGCCCAGCCTGTCCCTGTGGGCACATCTCTGCAGGGATGCAGACCTGCAAGTAATCGCTGTGCCTCTCCCGGTGGATGGCCCGTCTTCGCATTAGTGCTCTTGGATTGGATGAATGATGGTGTAGTGGGCTTGGGACAGGCAGGGACTCGGGTCAGCCAGCCCCTCCTGCAGCACACTGTGGACAGATCACTTTCTGTGTCTTGAGTGCCTCGTCTATAATGTGATGATGGCATCTACTTCACGGGGTTGTGAGGATGAGATGAGGAACCCTGTGTGAAGCCGTGAGTCCCACACGGTGAGTGTCCCGTCAGTGTTAGCGTCCAGTACAACTGGAATTCGTATTACTCCTACAAAGCTCTCAGAACCCAGCCTTGGGCGGTCCTCCTTCAGCCTGCTCTGACCAGGTAGAGGACGGGCACTGCAGCAGGCACCGTGTCGGCGTCTGCCCGGAGGACTCGCTGCAGGCGACATTCTGGGCTTCCTTCCACCTACGTGGCCTTTAGCAGGTGCCTGGGTGATCCCTTTAGGCACGAGAGCGTGCGTCTCATGGCGGACGGGACAGGGCCATCCATCACGTCGTGTGTCGTGTGTCTGAGGAAGACTTTGCTTTTTCTATGTCTTCCTGTGTTGTCATAGCTCAGAGGCCCTGTGGACAGCGATGACCGCCATGGATCTGTGCTGAGACTCAGCCAGGCCCTGGGCAATGTGACGGTGGTCCAGAAAGGAGAGCGCGACATCCTCTCCAATGGCCAGCAGGGTGAGTGGCGGCTGTGCATGGGCTGGTGCCAGGTCAGTCAGCGTGGCCGTGCTGAGTGCGAGCCCTGGAAGACCTCTCCCGTGCACACGTGTTCACGCGCATTCGCACAAAGGGATTCCTGCTGTCACCCACACCTTCTCCGGAGTCCATGTTTTGACTTCTCACTGTTTTGCCGGGGGAGGTGACCGTGGTGAAAGCCATGGGCCTTACCCGCCGGCTGAATTCCCATGCCTCAGTTATGAGAGGCAGTGTGGCGGGAGGGTGCGTGCAACAGCAGGGCATTCCCCAGCTGCCACCTTCGTCTCACCTGTGGCATCCATGATCCCTGCAGTTATTCTGTATTGTATTGCATTTCATTCTCTTTTATCAAAGTGACTGGAAAGTGCAGAAAGCCCTGGGGCTGCTGGTAGTGGAATCTCAGGCGCTGAGTGTGGCGAGTCTCAGCCAGAGCCTGGGGAGGCTTCCGCAAGAGCCAAGTGAGAGCGGGGCGGAGGCCGGGCCCAGCGTCAGCGAGGCATCTGGGGAGCCATGCCCTTGTTAGCTCTGAAAATGGAAGCCCCCCTCCATTCAGGCCTGAAGAGATGATGAATAGCGAATGTACTCACCTGTTGAGCTGTGAGGCTGCTGAGTAGGTACCAAAATCAGGGTAGAACACTGAGGCATCTGTGGGCGGGTGTGCCCAATCCACATTTGTACATTCACGTTCACATGCACAATTTGCACACACTCATGCACTTATTCATACACATGCAGTCATGCTCACACAGCCTCACACACGCCCTCGCACACTCATGCACTTCCACACATGCACGGTCGTGCTCGCAGCCTCACACACGCCCTTGTACACTCATGCACTTCCACACACGCACGGTCGTGCTCGCAGCCTCGCACACGTCCTTACACACACATTCACACACATTCACACACACATTCACACACACATTCACACACATTCACACACACATTCACACACACATTCACACATTCACACACACATTCACACACTCACACACACATTCACACACACATTCACACACATTCACACACATTCACACACATTCACACACATACACATTCACACACATTCACACACACATTCACACACATTCACATTCACACACATTCACACACATTCACACACACATTCACACACACACACACTCACACACACATTCACACACATTCACACACATTCACACACACATTCACACACATTCACACACACATTCACACACACATTCACACACATTCACACACACATTCACACACATTCACACACACATTCACACACATTCACACATTCACACACACATTCACACACACATTCACACACACATTCACACACAGCTGTGCACGAGGAACACAGGGCAGATGTTCTCAGAGGGACTCTTGACACCTTTGAGATGAGGGTTTTTTAATCACTGGAAGGCTCTCTTGGGTCTGACAGGTTCAGACAGTGTAACACCTGGTTTTCAAAACATTTTCCAAAGAAACAGAGAATTCCCACATACACAGGCACAGGTGACGTTATGAGGCCAGTGGAGGCCTTGCTTGGTGTTGCGCTTTATGACTGAGCTGTGGTTTAAGGTGCGCTCTGGAGTGTGGGCTGCAGGCGAGGGCTCGTCCTCCAGGAGCCGGTAGGAGGAGCTGGAGGCTGGTGCCGCCCTGCTCAGAGCCGCCTGCTTGGGCTTGTCTGAGGCGGTTCTGAGCTGCAGGTGTCTCCACCAACCTGCTGTGCTACACAGCCGGGTCTGGGGCAGCCTCACCACTGTGTGCCTTGATTTCCTCTTTTGTAAAACAGAGGCTGCCTCCAACCCTTGGAACAAACAGGGAAAAGCCGTAGCGGGCAGGATGTGAGTGGAGCCTCCGGCTGCTCCTGGAGGGTGTGGCTCTGCCTGCCGTGTGGCCTTCCACACGCATGGCTACTGTCACATTCATCCACATGGCCATGCTGACACCTGCTCTCACTTCTGCCCTGTGCAGTGCTTGTGTGCAGCCAGGAAGGCAGCAGCCGCAGGTGTGGAGGGCAAGGAGACCTCCTGTCGGGCTCCCTGGGTGTCCTGGTACACTGGGCGCTCCTTGCTGGACCGGAGAAAACAAATGGGTAAGGCCACATGTCTTCATTTATTCTACTTTGAAGCCGTCTGATTTTTCTAAGCTATTTCAGTAGCTCACGTGTTGAATAAGTAGCTCTGGAAACACTGAGAACGAACTCTAGGCTTCACTGGAGAGATCTCAGGGCACAGGCGAACCCTCTTGGCAGAATTTCCACCCCACACTTGGCCTGGGCCTGTCCCTCATTCACTGTGGATGGGGCCCGGGGCAGAGGTGGTCTTCAGAGTGCTCCAGAGAGTTCCGAGGTGCAATCAAGGCCCAGCAGCACGCTGTTCTAGGAAGCTGAGTGGTTTACATAGAAAACAGGGTCAAGGCTGGCTTAGACACTTGTTCTTAAAGATGTGAATTTTCTTTAAGAGACGGCAGAACTCTAGGACTTTATGAATGTGAGCAGTCCCCACGCCTCTGGGCGCCTCTGTCGCTCTGGTGTGAGCCCGTCAGGGCGGCGGCTGCAGGCGCTGAGTGCGGCAGGCCTGGGCTTCTGGAGGGTGGGCAGGCCTGTCATCCAGTGGCCCCGTCTGTCCTCACTGCCGGGATGGCAGAGTCTGGGACCAGCCCCCAAACTAGGTGTGCCCACATGAACTTGAGAGCTGAGGAGGTCGGGGCGTGGGCAGGGCAGGAGTCTTCCCGTTCGTTCTGCTGGGTTCACTCTGGTTCCCTCCGCCCCTCTCCCGGGAGATGGAGCCCTGGTAGCAGGAATCCACGTTCTCAGACCTCAGATGCCCTCCACACCCAGGCGCTGAGAGCACAAACAGGGCTGAGCAGCATGTGCCGCCTGGCTCTCCCCAGGAACAGCTGGCGCGCCGCGGGCCCTGGCCCCGTCTCTGAGGACATGGACACTTCCCGTGTGCCTCCTGCCAGGGAGTAGTGGAGGGTTAATGGTGGTTTTCGCTGTGATAAAGCTGCTTTCTCCTCAGAGGCATGTTAGACTTGAAATTGACAATTTGGGGTCCCAAGATTGAAACAGGAATCAAAACCAGAGCCCAGGGTGGCTGTGACCCCCGGACCACGGCGCCCACTTCCCCACACCTCCCGCTGTCGCCCTCTCCGCAGGTCCAGCCCTCTCCTGGTGGCTGCATTCGGCGCCTGCTCTCTCACCAGGCAGTGCAACCACCAAGCCTTCCAGAAGCACGGTCGCTCCACCACCACCTCCGACATGATCGCCGAGGTGGGGGCCGCCTTCCGCAAGCTCTTCGAAACCTGAGCCCACGCAGACCAGAAGGAAGCAGGCACCTCGGACGGGGGAGAGCGTGTGTGTGATGGGAAAATCCAGAGCCACGTGTGTGCTGAAGGCGCACAGTGCTTGCCAGAGTTTCAACTCGAGCATAAATTGGTTGCTGTTGAGAATTTAAGAATTTGGAATATTGCAGTTTTGGGCTAAACTTAATGCGTGGTTGGAGATGTTATGGTGACACTAAACAAAGTATTCCTGAACTCTCCTTAGCTCCGTGGTAGTAACTGAGAAGACAAATGAAGAAAATCACGTGAGAATGAAGAATTCTTTAGCAGCTCAACGTGCTAGAGAATTCTTTATTTCTCGAACGTGCTCCCAAATCAGCGAAGTTTCTACTTGTTTCTCTCTCTGCCAACGCCCTTCATTTCTCTCCTGCTTCCCTCCCCTAGTCTTTCCTCCGGCAGGGAGCCGGGCACAGGTCCCCGGGTGTCTCCGAGTCCTGACTGCACTGACTGCGTCTCCTCTGACTGGCCCATCAGAGGGCTCTTCGTTCTCCAGCTCGTCGTCTTTTCAAGTGGTGATTAGCGTGGTGGTATCTGGCTGCTGGTATTTGGTTGGCTTATTGACATCCTCCAGGGTAATCAGTGATCACTTTGTTTGGAAACCGTTTTGGAGGCACCATGGGAACAGAAGGAAACATGAGTGACGCTGACCCTTGAGTGGGTGGGCGGGGAGCTTAGATGCCTCCTCTCCCACGCTCTCCAGTGTCCATGTCTGCACAGAGGTCCCCATGACACCCACCAGCCCCAGCAGAGCAGACTTGACCGGGGACGGGCACCATGGAGGGCTGCAGCCTGGAATCTGACATGGCCCCTAGCGCTGTCTCAGGAGAAGGCTCTGGAGGACTTGGGGCATGCTGGGCCTGGTGCAGCGATGGCACTAAGGAGACCCGGGGAGAGACAGTGTCGTGGTCCTGTGTGCTTAGGAAGCAGCGCGGCCGTGTCCTCAGGGATGTTTGCGTCCAGTAAAGACAGTAGTAACTGCACTTCAGCTAATACGCTTCATGGCAGTGTCGACCTCGGGTTAGCTTCTGTTGTCTGTATGGGTGGTTTTCCTGGCGCGGCCTGACATTGACATGTTCTCTGGTCCCATGTCTTAGTGGGGCTTGGTACAGTTTTGTGCCTGACGCGTGCATTAGGGTGTTCTCTTATACTTTCTGGAACGCCTTTCCACTGCAAGGGCCAAACCCTCCTGGTTCCCTTCAGAGTCTTTTTGGCCTGATGATGACTCTTGAGTGATACCCTGCGATGTAGGCACGCCCCAAATGGATTCTACTTTCTTTAAAACTAGGAACTTTGAAGATTAAAAAATAGATTGTCACTACTAATCTGACACCTCACTTAAGAAGCTTCACGTCTAATGTGAACTTTTCCAGAAAAACTGTGCTATGGACATTTTTCCTTTGGGGAATTAACATCCAGATTCTGGTAACTATTAAAAGACAGATCTGGTTAATTTAAATTGAGCGTTGTATTTTTTTCCTTAAACAGCTAAAGCTCACCTTTCAACTTTCTTAGGTGAGGATATGGTGAGCTACCAGGAGATAAAAGTATACAAGCCTGTCTGTGACTGCCCTCACTGCCAGCGCCTCCCCCCCATGATGGCTTCAATAAAGCGCCTTGAAGGATAAGCCCAGGGCAGCCCCTTCTTTCCTTAGGAAATAGGATTCAGCAGTCACAGGAACTATTTGTATGGTTTTTATGACTAAATTTTTGTTCTAAGTAAAACATCCCTTTACCTAAAGGAGAGAATGGGTTTTTTTTACGATCAGCTCATTGCTTCCCTGTTCTTTCTCAAACCCACGTATTTCATGCACTCACTCCAGCCAGACAGGCTCCCAGGAGCTTCCCTGGACCAGGAGAGCCAACGGGGAAGTGTGTGCGGGTGGGTGGGCAGCCCATGAGGCAGTGGCCTGGCTGTGGGGGACAGAGTGCCCCAGTACTGAACAGCTCTGTCGAGATGCCTCATTGTAAGGAGCCCTCTGGGGACTTTTTCTATGTGGGTAGCTTTACTAGGGCGATTTTCTAGGTGAGTGACTTCTGAACTGGCGTTCTTCTCTGTAGACAGGAGACCTGTGCCTCAGGTTAAACGATGAGCAAGGCTGTACCCCCAGTCACAGGTCCTGCTGCTGCCTGTGCCTGTGGGATTGAGATGCCAGTGCGACAGGGAGAGGCCTGGCCCAGGCTCTGCGAGCGGGAAGAGTGGAGAGGGTCGCCCTGCTGAGTCACTGACAGCTGTGGTGCTGGGCTTACTACAGAAAGGCGAGGTCCGGCGCAAGGCGGGTGCTTAGGAGGCCACCTGCAGCCCAGGCAGCCTGCTGTGCACTGGCCACCACCTCCCGCTCAGGAATCCTGTCTGTCACACCTCGCCAGCTAGCTGTCAGCCTGGCTGCCCGGACTCCTCCGGAACCACCCTTCCCAGGCCCAACTCGACCCGTCACTGCTGTGCTTAGACCATGACGACCCAGATGGCCTGCGGCTGTCAGGACGGCAGCGGGACTGCAGACAGGTTCTCAGCTGCACTTTTTCTATGGTGAATGTGATACTTTTGTAACCACAGAAACAAACTAAGATTGTGTTCTTGCTGGGGGAGGGGTTCCCAGAGTTAGCATGGCCTGGCGTCCCTGCTCTGCCTGACTGTGCTGCTGCGTGGCCCACCCACCTCACCCATCCCCAGCCCCTCCCTCAGGAGGAGACAGGCTGCGTCCTGCCGCCTCCCTGGGTCCCTGCTCTTCTGTTCCTGTGTTGTCTGTTCCCTGGGCACAGGGCCAGTGGGTCTCACGCACAGGCACATGTGCTGCTGGATGCTACTGAATGTTTGACACCACTTCACTCAGTCGACAGTCTGTAGCCACAGAACGCAGTGAATGTTTAGGCTTAATTACTAACAGATGCCAGAGGGACACTGTTGGTTCCCTTACTTTAATGCTGATCTAGCAGCCCCGACAGGAAGCTTTAACATAAAGCCTTTAACATAAAGCACAGGTGCATCTTGTCGTGAGCAGGTTCATGGCTGTGCTGCATCCTCAGCCCACTGGTTTTTGGTCTTTTGTCCTTTGATCCAGCAGTTCCCACGTGGACGTTGTACTGTTTCTGTCCTGGAGAAGAAAAGTGAGGTCCAACTCTGAGCAGACACCACGTCACGTGGCACAGGGGGCTGACGAGCGTGACCAGGTTCAGGATGCCTGTTCCCTCACCGGCCTGTCCTAAAAAGCTGGCCGGGCGCTTAGAAAGGGCCCCACTGCCTCCAGCAGAAGGCCAGGAACTGTGCAGCACCTGTAGGAGGTGGCGGGGGCTGAGCAGGACCCACGTGCCCGTGCTCAGCGTCCCCTCCAGCCAACTTGGCCCCTCCGTCACGGCCCTCCCACCTCATTTATCACAGGGATGGGTTTCTCAGAAAGAAGCATGGGCCAGGTACGGTGGCTCACACCTGTCATCCCAGCACTTTGGGAGGCTGAGGCAGGAGGATCACCTGAGGTCAGGAGTTTGAGAACAGCCTGACCAACATGGAGAAAACCCATCTCTCTAAAAAACATTAGCCGGGCGTGGTGGCGCACGCCTGTAATCCCAGCTACTCGGGAGGCTGAGGCAGGAGAATCGCTTGAACCTGGGAGGCACAGGTTGCAGTGAGCCGAGTTCGTGCCATTGCACTCCAGCCTGGGTGACGAGAGTAAAACTGTCTCAAAAAAAAGAAAAACAAGCATGGTCACGGGGGATGTCTGGGCCTCCGATGGCTCCATGTCTGTGTGACACCTGTTGATCTGCCTAGCTCCTGAGGTGATGTCCCTGACCTGGGTGCAGCACTCACCTTGATGCTGATGCCATGGGCAGTCAGGTCCTGGCGCAGGGTGTCGCATGCCTCCAGCAGGGGCTGCCTCTCTAGGAGCTGCTGCCGTCGGGCCTCCCCCGTGGCCTCGGCCTTGGCCAGCGCAAACTGCCGGACCTTCTGCCGGAACCGCACCAGCTCCTCCACCACACCACGCAAGGTGGCCTCGCTGCCGTCTCCTGAAACACACTGAAGCCGGCAGGGCACGGTTACATCCCCTGGAGACTGTGGACACCCCAGGTGGTTGGGCTCTGGGCTGAGACCCACCCAGCCCTGGGCTTCCCTGATTGCCTACAGCTGGGCCTCTTTCTGGGCCTGGCAGGGCTGGGTACAGCCCGCAAGCGCTGGGCTCTGGGCAAGTCTCCACTCTCAACTCTGAGTATCTGTCATCCAAGCAAGGCTGACTGATGCTCACTTGGGAGTTAGAAGGATGGGCTGGGGGCTGCACACCACCCTGCCCTGAACACAAGTGCTCCCTGGGTTTCAGACCCCACACAAGTGTGGCCGAGGTATCAGGAGCAACCTGAGGATGAGGCTGGGGGCAGCGGCTGAGCGCTTGCAGATGTGTTTCGGCAAATGGTCTGAGAGTCACAGCCTCAGGTGCTGAGGACGGGATTGGGGCGGAAGGCCTGTGCGCTGTCCTCCCACTGAGAAGGGATCCTGGGGCAGTATGGAAGGGGCAGCTGTACCTGTTTGTTAAATTCATGTGTGTAAAATAAGAAACGGACAGACGGCCGGGCGCGGTGGCTCAAGCCTGTAATCCCAGCACTTTGGGAGGCCGAGACGGGCGGATCACGAGGTCAGGAGATCAAGACCATCCTGGCTAACACGGTGAAACCCCATCTCTACTAAAAAATACAAAAAACTAGCCGGGCGAAGTGGCGGGCGCCTGTGGTCCCAGCTACTCGGGAGGCTGAGGCAGGAGAATGGCGTAAACCCGGGAGGCGGAGCTTGCAGTGAGCTGAGATCCGGCCACTGCACTCCAGCCTGGGCGACAGAGCCAGACTCAGTCTCAAAAAAAAAATAAAAAAATAAATAAATAAATAAAAAGAAACGGACAGACAACCTTATACTTTGGTGTCAAACTACTTAAGTGCATACACCCCTCAGTGCTTCCATGATAAAAGACGATTTTTGTTATTACAAAAATATGAGCCCAGAGTGGGCCCAGACGTTAGCCCTTATGGCCGGAGGAAGGTGAATGAGGTATCTTTGACAAGGACTAGGCAGAGCTTGGCCAGATCCCACTTTTCTTACTCAATACAGACTCTGGAAAGCCACCCTAAAAATGAACATGTACATTGCAAAGACTTGGTCATCTCACACCAGTAGACTCTTACGTGATTGGCAACAGACGCTGGACTGCCAGAAAGAGAAACTACCAGGTGATCAACAGGTATATAAATGAGCCAAACTTGGAAAAGACACTATCGTTCTCTGTTGAGAGCCAGCGAGACGTGTCCAGCCCAGAGCCAGGCATCCAGCACACCTGCTCGGGCCCCAGTCCCAAGCAGCGGGACCCTGGGGTGCTGGGCAGCTGGTCTAGAGTGGCAGCCTCCATCCAGGCAGCAGCCGCCAAGCCACACCCCAACAGAGCCAGAGCGCCTTGTGCTGAGAATTCTCCAAGGGCGTCCAGAGAATGACAGGGACGTTCAGGGATACAGCACCAGTTCCAAGGGGCCTCCTCAGCCATATACTCATAAAAAGCGATTGGGAGGGGACTTCAAGAATAAGGCAGGAAACCTCAAATCCGTACTGATGCAATAATCAAGTTCCAGGTGAGCCTGGTAAGGAAGGGGGTATTTTCATAGGATCCAAGTCTCTCTGCAAAAATGCTCCAGTTACAAGGGAAGAGGAGGAATGTGGAGAAGCCTGGCAATGTCCACCTTCACTGCGCAGCCAGGGTGAGCCTCGCTGGGAAGGTGCAGGTGCAACTCGTACCTGTCGGGGGGCTTGTCCTGTCCATAGGAAGCATGCGACAGGCAAGGGGGCTCAGGCCGCCAACTTGCCCTCAAATGGGTCAGGAAGAAATGTGACCGGTGTGCCTGCGACTTCTGCACATTCTGAGAGTCTTTCAACATAAGCGTGTGTGCAGAGCTGGCGACACCGCTGCTAAGAGGGACTCATCTCTGGTTCTGCGCACGAGAGTTTGCCAACTGCAGAAGTAGAACTGCGCAATTCCAATTAATAAGGATTGGCTCTGAGTGTGTTTATTTTTCCAGGAAAATAACATGTTTTTAAACAGGTAAATAAATTAGTGTGGCATCATCGTGATCTATTCCAAGTTAAAAGGGTAAAGGTTATTGTCCCTTTACCCTTTTAGGACAAAAATGGAGAAAATTCCAGAATTAAGCATTTAAAATAATACGACCTACCTGTTGATTGCCCAGAGAAATTCCAACAGTTTCAAAAAACTGTTCAAAGTAAGAGATGATGGCACCAAACACAGCAGGACTTCTCGGCACTCCAGGTTCCTGTAAGAGACCATGCAGCGGAATCTCCTGAAAAGCGGTCTTGATGGCAGTGGGCGAATGGAATTCAACGTCAAAAGACAAAGGCTTCAACAGGTCACCAGTCTGGCCTTTCTCCTGGCTTCTATGGAGGGAGGACACAGCTCTGGCATCGGCTTCCTCACTGCAGACCATACAACTATAGGTGCATGAGGAATCTCTTGTGCCTCACTTTACCCACCAGTCATGTGGGTGGTGACTAGCCCATGAGGCTTTGCAGGTAAAGCATGACCGTGGAGTATGGCAGGCGGCGCATGGTAGGTGGAGGCTGAGTGGGCACTGGGCTGGGTTTCTCAGAAAACAAGGAAATCCTGGCATGTGGCTCACGTCAGTCACCAAGCACAGAGACCCCCACTAGCCTTAGTTCGCAGGTGCCCCAAAATTGCAAAGGTTGGGAAGGAAAAGCGCAGGCGCCAGCCTCTTTACTTGTCCCCACCCCTTGCCACAAGAGGCCCCTGTTGCCCTAGACCTGGGCCAGCCTGGTAGTGCCGGCAGTGTGCGGGCGGACGGCTGAGGAGGAGGAGCTCCCGTGCACGAGCAGCCTGGCCGGGACCTGCCCCAGCCTGGCCTGGCTGCCTTCAGTGTGCGGCAGCCTGTTCCTGCACCCAGCTGTGACTCAAATGCCCGCTCCCCTCAGAGGTGAGCCCTACACGTCTGCAGTATTTGGACCAAAGGCACCTGGCACAGGCACATGGCACCCTGCCCCACCTGCTGATGCTCTGAAACCCAACACTGCAGGCAGCCAGGGATGGAGACCCCCACAGAGATGCTCAGCTAGCAGAGCACGTGGCCAGAACTCACAGGTGTTTCCAGAGATGGGAGAGGCACGGATGGCCTCGGCTTCCCAGGTCATGAAAGGTCACAGGGCTCCTGACGCTGCGCCTCCCAGAGCCTGGCAGGGGAAACCCTGAGAAGTGCAGGAACCAAAGCCTGCCGCCGCCTCCACGGTCTTTGTCCCACCCCCCCAAACGCTTTCAGTGACTCTCAGGTCCAGGCTGAGACCCCGGGGTGCTTGGTGTGGTCGTCACACTGGGGTGCAGACTGCATAACAGTGCATTGGGGTAAATGGGTCTTTCCTTTAAAAGTTCCCCACAAAAGCTCTCTGGGAAAGTGCCATGGACGCAGTGGGGACATGAAATGTGTCCCCTGAGGATCACGCACACATAATTTCTTAGCTTCAGGGGCTCCCGAGAGCTTGTTCTCCAGGTGGCCTTGAGGCCTGGGAGGGTCAAGCCCCGAGCTGGGTGCCATCCTGTGTCAGCTGCAGACTCGGGTTCCACGAGTTCCTCCACAGAAGCTGCGGGAGGCGAAATCAGCAGAGAGCCCGCCCAGCCGACATGAGAAAAACCCACCAGAGGACCCGACCCATGCCCCTGGCAGCGGGACCGCGAGGCCACCTGCTCGTTGAGCTACCTTCGAGGCCGCCCTGAGCTGTCCGTTCCCGTGGTGCGCAAGGCCCAGGATGGCATCAACTACCCTGGGTGTGTCAAAGTCATCTGCCAGGGCCTCCTTCACGGCGCTCCTGGTGCTGGCGAGCCTGAGGGAAGAGGAGAGGAACAGTTGCGGCAGAGGGAGCCCCACCCTCCCCAGGAGGCCCCCGTGCCAGTCCTTCCCCAGGCAGACACGCTGGGGGCTCTTAATTTGGGGACTCTGTCTAGGTCATATTCCCAGACTTGTGAGTTCCTGAGTAGCAGAAAATTACGTAACATCAACTGCAAACTGTCATGTTACCCCAGGAAAAAGTCCCAGAGCACAGTCACCTGTGACACTTGTATTTTAACACACAAGATACACGTGGGCATTTCCATGATGGTTTTAAAAATCAATAGACACTGAGGGGAGTGGCAGGGAAGACTCGGTGGGGGATAGACAGCACGGCTGACCACTCACAAAGAGAGGTTGGGGAGGCCCGGCCCAGGGCTCCTGGATCTCCGCCTCCCGTGGCCACTGGCAGCCTGCCCTGCTGAAGCGGCAGGGGTGGGTTGTCACCAAGACCATCTGGAAGACTCTGCACACTGGGATCAATGTGCAGCACTGCCCAGGACACCCGTGGGTGGGGAGTGGAGGCGACGCTGTGGGCCCAGTCCTGTGTGTTTCACAGCTTTTGGCTCCTCACGGTCAGGACCGGGAGGGATGAGCAGCTCTGCTCCTCGCACAGGGAATCCAAGCCCAAAGCCACTCTGAGCAGGGGGCTCAGAGCCCGAGGGCCCCAGGCACACTTCCTGCCCAGTACCCTGTCTCCCTGGGACGTCTCGGGAGCCCCTGACCCTGTACCTCCTGCCCAGCAACCAGTCTCCTGGGGCCGCTCTGCAAAGTCCCTGACCCTAAACCTCCTGTCCAGCGCCCTGTCTCCTGGGGCCGCTCCGCAAAGTCCCTGACCCTAAACCTCCTGTCCAGCGCCCTGTCTCCTGGGGCCGCTCCGCAAAGTCCCTGACCCTAAACCTGTCCAGCGCCCTGTCTCCTGGAGGCCGCTCCGCAAAGTCCCTGACCCTAAACCTGTCCAGCGCCCTGTCTCCTGGGGCCGCTCTTCCCCTTCAGGAGCCCACCAGCAGCGCGTAGCAGGCCGCAGGAGGGGCGCCACGCCGCGTGCTGGGCGGGTCTCTTACCTCTCCCACAGCATCACTTCTCTGACAGAACCGCAGGCCAGCTGCCCCTTCATGTAGGCACGTGCGTCCTCCAGGAAAGAGCCCAGCGCCAGGAGCTGCTGCTGGGCATGGAGCATGGCGCTGTCACTGTAGTCGATGGCTGAGGAGGAAGAGATGGTCCCTGAGGCGGTGCCCACCATGCTGTGCCCCTGCCCTCGTCCAGCAGAATCACAGTGTTCTCTGAGGGCACTGCCACCCGGGGACCACACGGAGAGCGGGACATGCGGCCCTCACTGCCCTCCAGTGACCGCGAGTCCCTAGGCCCACTGGACACAGACCACAGGGTCTGTCCCAGCTCAGTGTCACCTGCCCTAGGAGAACAAGGTGGTGGTGGAGAAATGCTCCCGGGGCTTCCAGCTGAGAGGCGCGTTTCCGCTGACGGATGGATGGAGGTGCGGATCAACAGCTGGCTCTGGATGGAGGGAGCCCCACCCTGGGGTCAGAGGCACCTCTAGGGAAGGCGCCCCCTGGAAAGTGCCCGTGTGTGATGGGACGGCCCATAGCGGGAGGGAGGAGCAGTCCCCAGACCTAGCTTTAGAGTCTGTGGGTGTTGCTTAGGCCACCTGGATGAGGGGCCAGTGTTTCTGTTTACATCTGTTCATTTCTGGTGGTTTCTAGTCTACTGCATTCTGATGAGTGAGACACAACAGGAATGAATCGCTTCACAGTGATCACACATCCTTGCGTATCAGCAGAGCCAGCCACACATTTCTAAAACCTTCTTCTCGTTTCTGTGCCTACTCTGCTTCCCAGACTGTCTGAGGCCACAGTCCGTGCTTTTGAGGAGCGCTGCTTCAAAAAGCTCTTTGAAAACCACAGGAATAAAAAGAGCCTATCTGGACACATATGCCGAAAATTACATCCTAACATGCCTACAAGTCCTGATTTCAAAACGAGAATTCCAAAGTCAGACACGGCTTCAAGCGGGAAGCAACACAGTGAAAATCTCCCCCAGGGTTGTTTAATATCTCACTTAACATTTTTCCTTTTTTTCCAAATTCACTTTCAGTTTTTGCTTTGAATAGCTTGACAGAAGAGAAAAAGCCAGAAACCCACAAAGCGATCTGACAACATTTAAAACACATGGGAGGCTGTTAGAATAAGATTACCATTAACGACACAGCACGATGGGGCATCAGAGGGGCGGGGCAGACAGATGTCCAGCACGGAGACGCCTTGTGCCTCAAAGTCAAGGACAGCTGCACTCCTCCAACAAGGATTGCTCTACAGACGGGAGACGCCTCCCCAAAGTGTCAGCACAGCACAGACGGCACGGGAATGCCACCACTGTCACCCTCCGTCTTCCCAAAGGTGAAGAAAGCATGTCTGGGAGGATCCTGAACTCCCACACCACTTGCGCAGGAAGCTCAGACAGCAAGCGACGGCCCAGCGCCTCATGGCCACCTCTGACCTCGAGGGGGTGTCGTGCCCACCGTGGGGATCCACGTCCCGCTAACCCTGTGTTCCTAGAAATCCCTCACCGGCAGATCGGTGCCTCCTGAATCCCACCCGCAATTCCCACTGGGAATGTGTTCCGGAAAGAGCTGCCCAGGATTGAGAAAGCTGCTTTTCAGACCAAACTTCATATTCAAAGCTCGAAAGGAACTGCACACGATTAGGACAGTCATGCAAGGCGCTGCCCCTAATCCTGCCACAATCTGCGAGAAGAAGGGGGGCAGGGGCCTCTGAGGGCAAAGAGCCCCTGGGAAGGGATCCACGGGGAACAGCTTTGAAAGGACCACAGCCCCCAGCCACAAGGGGAACAAGCACGAGCCGGGGAGAAAGCTCTGCACTTGCACACGGGATTCATCCCCACCGCCTCTGCCCGTTTCCAGCAACACGGAGCCAGGCAGAAACAGTTTCTCCAGCCCATTCGCCTCCCGACTCTTCCTCTCACGGCGTGGTTGGTCTGTGTTCACTGTGTATAAGTGCACACCACACACAGATGCTGCACAAGGTCAGGTGAGCACGAGGCTGCTGACACTTCCGTCTCGGGCTGGCGCGCCTGTGAGCACAGGTCCCCTAGGCTGATGCACTGCAGTTCCACCCAGGGGACAGGTTCAGACCCCATCTCAGAAACCCTGAACTTGCAGTAGAAAGCCAACATGGTGTCGAAGCCAGGATAAAGACATGGCCCAAGGTAGCCTTTCAGTGGTCAAACATGCAGGTGTCTGTGTGCCCCACTCAAGCTGACAAGAGCCGCAGGCCGGGGAGCCTGTGCCAGGCCGTGGCCCAGGTGAGATTCTGCAGGCACAGCACAGTGAAGGGAGACGGATGGGACCAGCCCAGGGGCTCACCCAAACCCGCCAAAGCTTTGTGTGTGACATAAAGATAAAATCTATCTGGCCAGATAGACTCACCCCGTGGGGGAATGAGAATCCACTGTTTTGGCTGCATGTCCCCACCCCCATCGTCTTCATTAAAAAGGTGAAATCATCAATTGAGAGCAAGAGTGCTATGTAGGAGGACAAGAAGCGGGAGAGTGAGGTGGCGTGGCAACAGCAGTGGCCCAGGGACACGCCAGTGTCAACAGAGCAGAGGGGACACCAGAGGCCAGAAGAGCAGCAACCCTCGCTCACCAGCAAGGAACTGTCACCATCTCCAGAGGACACCGGCCCTGCTCCTGCAGCACTAGCCATACACTGGGACCTTACTGCCAGTTAGGTGGTCAAGCCAGGCAGGCAGTGCCACTGTCCCCAGCCCTCACCCGTCACCAGGGATCCAGCTCTGGATAACAACTTTTTTTTTTTTTGAGACAGGATCTTGCTCTGTCACCCAGGCTGGAGTGCAGTGGTGCTTTCTCGGCTCACTGTAACCTCCACCTCCTGGGTTCAAGTGATTCTCCTGCCTCAGCCTCCCAAGTAGCTGAGATTATAGATGCCTGCCACCAAGCCAATTTTTTGTATTTTTTTCAGATAGAGTCTTGCTCAGCCGCCCAGACTAGAGTGCAGTGGCATGATCATGGCTCACTGCAGCTCTGCCTCCCAGGCTCAAGCAATTCTCTTGCCTCACCCTCCTGAATAGCTGGAATTATAGGCACACATCGCCATGCCTGGCTAATTTTTGTATTTTTAGTAGAGATGGGGTTTTACCATGTTGGCCAAACTGGTCTCGAACTCCTGACGTCAAGTGATCCACCTGCCTCAGCCTCCCAAAGTGTTGAGATTAGAGGCACAAGCCATCGCACCAGGCCTTTTGTATTTTTTGTAGAGACGAGATCTCGCTATGTTGCCCAGGCGGGTCTCAAACTCCTGAACTCAAAACATCTGCCAGCCTTGGCCTCCCAAAGTGCTGGGATCATACACGTGAGCCACCATGCCAGGCCAGTGCTAGACAACTCCTGGCCAAAAGCCTAGCCTGGGGCAGCAACAAAATCGTGCAGCATGGGAGGAACCATCATCACCCATCCAGGAGACCTGGCTCTGCTACACACTGTTCAGGGAAGCGCTGTCCCTGGGCGGGACAGGCAGGGTCACGTTTGAGGGCTCCCATGTTCAGGGGCCGTGCCAGGCTGGCCCCTTCCAATTTCCCAGTTCACAGAGCAGGAAGCCGACGTGCTGCGGGTTCACGACTTGTCCAGACCCACAGAGAAGGAGTGGAGAGGACTCGAGCTTGACGAGGAAGCCCACATCCACTACGGGCTGAGCCTGGACCAGCGCTGGGATCCCTCGTCCTCTGGGTTCACTCTCAACCTGAACCTCCAGGCCCCAGCAGCTGCACGCACAAGGTTCTGCCTATTCTCTGGCCTGCATTTTGCTGTTCTCAGTCCTGTCGGAATGACGGTCTCCAAGCTGGGGAGGAGTCCACTCCACGTGCGCCCGGCTCACCTGAGCGGTAGCTGCTCCGCAGGCAGAAGAACCGGAAGACGTCAGGGGAAAAGGTCTTCAGAAAGTCCTGGTAAAGCGAGAGACAGGCAGTCACGAGGCTTTGCGTTTACGCTTTGCACTGTTCAGAGAATATGTTATTTACTACAATTACATGACTTATCTCTACTTATCAAGAAATCAGGAATCTTGATGAAAATGAGCCCTCCAAACACAATTACCACCTGTTTCCTGGTGATTTCCTTCCTCACTGAACTTTCCATGTTCGATCTCAGTATTTGTGGAAAGAGCAAGAGGAGAAAGCCGGTTTGCCTGAAATTCCCCACCTGCGCAGGCTCCGGGAGGAGTGTCCTGTGCTCAGCCTGGGCTCTCTCTCTACACGACAGGGACGTGGGACAGACCGCATGGAGGGATGCTATGCTCAGGAAGAGACCAGGTAGGCGGCGGGAGGCACACCAGCTCTGGCTGCCTGCAGGCCCCCAGGAGAAGCTTGCGGTTAACCTCAGACCCAGCTGACCTCCGGCTCAGTCCAGCCAAGGGGCGACAGCCTCACTCATCCTATTTGGTGGCACAGTTCTCGTAAACACTGAGTTTAAAGCATGTGCTAAGTCTGTCTCTTGAAGACTAAACCGCCCTGCCTCTGATTAAACATAAGTAAAACTCAGAACCCAACCAGTATGGTCCTGTAGATCATTTAGAAAACGTCTGTCCAGAAAGAAGTGGAGCTTTCTGCATGAGGAGGCTTAGGAGAGGTCATTAGAGGCACTGCAAAAGCAGCACGGCACTCGGCAAAGCCTCCTGTGGGGCGCTCAGGGCTCCGCTCTGGCAGCTACTTTCAAGAGATGAGATGAGACTCAGGGCGGGGGAGAGAAGGAAGAGGGCTCTGCCCAGCTTGGGCTTCCAGCGTGGCCCCAAGAAAGCAAGCTGAGCTCCGGCTGCACCCCCGGCGAGGGACGCGCTCCAACGGGAGCCCGCGTGGCTCCCTGCCTGGATCAGCAGCACATGCTGCCAGCTCTGACCAAAGCCCCCTTTCCTGCCACCACCTCAGAAGACAGAACTGGCTCACCCCTTGCCTGTCCTCTGTGCAGGAAGCTGTCGCCGGCCTTGCTGGAGTGAGGACTGCGTTTCCGTCTCCCTCGGGTAAACCTGATCCCCTCATCTCTAGGCTGATGGGCAGCGACACAAGCCCACAGCACAGGGGCTGACTCCAGCCTGCAATCTGCACCCGCTCGCCAGAGCTCGGACACCCGCGTCCTCCGCAGCGTGGTCGTGGGAGCACAGAGCTGCCGGGGAGAGTGAGCTGGAGACGGCGGAGTCCAGCTCAAAATACTGTATCTCAACGCATGGTATTTTATAAGGCATAAAAGACTGGCCTAAGGCCATGCTGCTCAACAACCGTACTGAGAGCAAAACAAATGCAACTGAAGAGCGTCTTGGGGTAGAAGGGGCTGTCCCTGCGGCAGGCTGCCGCAGCCTCACCCACCCACCCGGTAGGAAGGAGGAGACTCCCTGGGCTGCTGAGCAGGAAGAAGGAGGACACTGCTCCACCTGCCTCCGGGGCTCATTCCCTTCAGAGGACTGAGCGGGTCTGGTCTGCTTTCCACCAGGAAGGAGGTCAGCCCCCACCGCACAGCCCAACCCCGTCTGCCTGTGCCTGAGGCAGTGAGAGGCATTCTCATGTGGGGTGGCATAATGAGAAAGCTGCTGGGCCAATCCCCTAACACAGGGGTGCTCAACCTGGGGTCCACAGACCTCCTAGGGGCCCACAGAGAGAAGGTGGGAGGGCGGGGAGATCTGTGAACTGGGATGGTTAAACAGTTATGTGTTTATTTCTGCCGGCCTTGCACTAAAATGGGCATTTCCTTCGACGGTCAGTGCAGGCAGCAAACACATCGGGAAGCACAGAGCCTGGCACGGTGGCCACAGCTGCCACAGATGACCCTGCAGGGATGACATCACATGCCACGAATCACGAAGCACAGTGCCTGGCACGGTGGCCACAGCCGTCACAGGTGACCCCTCAGGGATGACATAACACGCCACGAATCACGAAGCACAGAGCCTGGCACGGTGGCCACAGCCGTCACAGGTGACCCCTCAGGGATGACACCACACGCCACGAATCACGAAGCACAGAGCCTGGCGCAGTGGCCACAGCCGTCACAGGTGACCCCTCAGGGATGACACCACACGCCACAAATCACGAAGCACAGAGCCTGGCGCGGTGGCCACAGCCGTCACAGGTGACCCCTCAGGGATGACATCACACGCCACAAATCACGAAGCACAGAGCCTGGCGCGGTGGCCACAGCCGTCACAGGTGACCCCTCAGGGATGACACCACACGCCACAAATCACGAGAGGACGGCAGCAATCAGACCCCACCCACGCTGAGCTAACCACTGAGTCAAGCAGAGCACATGCTCCTCTACTTCAGTATCGACGGCCTTTGGGATCCTATGTATTTTATTTTATGTATTTAAAGCAAATTGTAAGGCTGGGTCCACAGACTTCACCAGGCAGCCACAGGGGCCCGGGGTGGGGAGGGGGGCTGGGGGGTATGTGTGTGTGTGCGTGTGTGTGAAGAGCCCCTGTCCAATCCAACAGTAATTCATCAGTAATCACACTGGAATTCAATTTCCGTCTGTCCATCTCCTGGGTGCTCCTTCCCAACTTGTGAAAAAAGCGGTATTATTCCTGGGTCCTCTAATTCGCAACTCGCAGGCTCACTCAAGACCCTCCCTCACCCAAGGTGTTGTGGTTCCAATTAACACACACAGCCACGTCCTGCTGGTTTCGGTTCAGGCTGTGCCCTATTTAGGTCTCCACGTTTCGGTGTGGAAACACCACTCCGCATACAGGCTCCAATGCTCTCTACTTCATTCCAAAGAGGATTTCACCTGGCCTTCTTTCAAAGGGGTTTTCCTCTCATTCAGAATGGAAACATATGCAGAATTAGCCTCAATGTGCTTTACAAATCTAATAGTTCTTTGAAACCCCAACAACATTAAAGGCTTATCTTCCCCGCTCTTGGGGGGGCGGGAGTTACTGCAGCGAGCTACAGTAGTTCTAACAGAAATCTGGAATCTAATCTTTCTAGAGCATTGAGTTTCTATGGACTGTTTCCTAATAATACAGAAAGGGGAAACATATTATAACTTCTTCATTACCCAGTATTCTGACAATGATGTGAAAACTCTTGAATACTGTGGGTGCTCATGGACATTAATTTTTTAGCGTGTTCCTGCTCTGTGCCAGCTGATATCAGCAAGTTTCTGCACTACTCTGGTTCCACCGTGCAACCTGCCACGGCTACCTGAGAGGCAAAATGTGGCTACGGCAGGGTAAGCTCGCGCTGGAACTCTCCAGGAGGTAGGCAAACTCCCAGAGCCCAGGCCAGAGGCCTTCGGGTGGGGACGGTAACAAGCCATGTGAGCCCCAGTGAGCTCACGAGGTAACAGGATGCACACTCCCAGGGAGCCCGCTGGGTGCACATGCCAGCTGCCGAGGGACTTCGTATGATGCCAGCGCTGCACACACCCCTGGAGCCCCTGGGCAGAAGCGGGCGCCAGAGCCTCTCTTCTGGGCTAGGCCCTAGCTTGCTTTGAGAGGTACAGTAACCAGAAAGCAGGTTTTAAACCATCATCTGAGCTCCAGGGTTGAGCTCCTTCTACGTGGACCGTGGCCTCGATTACGCAGAAAGCACTGGGTTTCCACCCAGGCTACTCTAAAGTCTATCTCCAAGACAAAGAGGACCGGCAGGAAAAGGGTCTTACGCTAGAAACCAGGAATTTGGCGTGTGTTTTTCAGATATAGGCAATACCTTAACATTCCCAAGGAACTATGGGCTGAGGGTAGGTGCGAGCTACCAAAAATATAAAAGAAAAATCATCAGTAAATACATACAGACAAATCAACACAGCAAATAGACAAAGGCATGGAAATTTAAAATCCAGTTGTCGTTCTTCACAAATTAACAAGAAAAATGGGCCAGGTGCCGTGGGTCACCCCTGTAATCCCAGCACTTTGTGAAGCTAAGGCAGGAGGATTGCCTGAACCCAGGAGTTTGAGACCAGCCTGGGCAACACAGTGAGACTTCGTCTCTACAAAAAATACAAAATTAGCAGGTGCAGTAGTGCACGCTTGTGGTCCCAGCTCCTTGGGAGGCTGAAGTGAGAGGTTTGCTGGAGCCCACAAGTTTCAGGTTGCAGTGAGCTGGGACTGCACCTGGTGCCTGGGTGACAGTGAAACCCTCTCTCAAAAAAAAAAAAAAAAAAAAAATGACAAAAGGTAACCTGATTACAATTCTAATTTGATGCTGGAGAGACCTGGGAAACAGATTATTTTCATCTACTGCCAGTGGGAATGTAAATGACACTCGATAAAATCACCAGGGGCTGTGTCCAAAACATTCTGAATGTGCCTGTATCTTCTGATGTGTGATTTCTACCTCAAGGCACTTTTCTCAAGTCACTCATCATTAGATGTGCACAGATATTTAGCTAAAGGATATTCATCACAGCACTGTAGCCTGCAGAGTACAGGTCTCACAAACAAGTCCAACAACGGGGAAATAAAATCGTGGTGCCTCACTGCCACGAGCCACTAAGTGGCCGCTAGATTAAAAATAATGGAGACATGGCAATGTCTGTGAAAATTTAAAATGCACATACCCTAGTGGAAAATGCAGTGGGATTTAAATGACCATTAGTAGGGGATTCTTTAAGCGGCACCCACACACTGGACTACTCAGCCATTCGAAAGAATGAACCAACTCCACATGGTAGAAAACCGACGGAGGCCAAGAGGTGAATCAAGCAAGCGCAAAGCGACACCGCTGTGTGTGAAGAGAAAATGAGAAGCACAGCTATGGGGAGATGTGTGAACACACACCTGCTCCGAAGAAACCAACCAACCGCTGCTTCAGGAGAGAAGCCGGGCAACAGTGAATGCGGTCGGGCAGGAGGCCCGCTTTCCTTCCTTAGTACCTTTGAATTTTTCTACCGTTTGCTTCTCTGTCTTGTCTGCAGTTTCCAAACTTTCTGCAATTAAACCCATCACGTCACTAATCAAATTAAAACCTCACTTAAATTGTTAGGGAAAAGGCGGCACGCATATGACACTGCCTCATGAATGAGACGGAGGAGAAAGGTTTATGCATATTGGCCTATCATATTCCTACAATGGAACACAGGAAAGTGAATCCAAAACAGAGACAACTGTGGCTGCTGGGGAGGGAATGGGTGCAGGCAGGCTCCAGGCCGGCCTTCTCCATGCTCTCTTTAGTGTTAATGCTGAACCCTGCAAATGTTTCACAGATATGACAAAGAAAAGTAAATTGGGGCCGGATGCAGTGGCTCACACCTGTAATCCCAGCACTTTGGGAGGCCGAGGCAGGTGGACCTGAGGTCAGCAGTTCAAGACCAGCCTGGCCAACATAGTGAAACCCCATCTCTACTACAAATACAAAAATTAGCTGGGTGTGGTGGTATGGGCCTGTAATCCCAGCTACTTGGGAGGCTGAGGCACAAGAATCGCTTGAATCTGGGAGGCGGAGGTTGCAGTCAGTTGAGATCACACTAATTGACTACAGCCTGGGTGACAGAGCAACACTCTCTCTCAAAAAAAGACAAAACAAAACAAAAAGTAAATTGGAAAGGGGAAGAGAGAGACCATCACACCAGAAACAAACAGAACAAGTGAACCTCTTGTGTTAATGAAAGGAGATCATTACACACTGTGAGTATATGTTCAGACCACAGAGCTTTAGTGGGATGCAGTCTACAAGAAAAAGAAATTTAAGTCCAGAATAGGCAAATCACAGAAACAGAAAGTTGTCAGGGGCTAGGAGGAGGTGGGAGTGAAAAGTGACAGCCCATGGGTGTGGCATTTCTTTTGAGGTGATAAAAACGTTCTTACATAGTGGTGATGGTTTCACAACTGTGAATATCCTACAAACCACTAAGCAGCACAATTTAAAAGGGTGACTTATGTAGTATGTGTGTTGTATTTCAATAAAGCTATTAGTTTAAAAAGAAATAAAAAGAAGCCTTAAGTTTTACTCAATAGTTTTACTTTTAACAGTAATATTGGTATTAAGTTTTTAAATTTATTTTGTGTGTATTTTAAGATAAAACAAAAAGTTGATATGCTCTTATCAGATGTTTACTGTAAGAGAGGAAAATAAAGAGCTAAAACTAAAAAGCCCTGTGATATTAAATTTTATTTGGATATATCAAAAGTAACCCAAATAATGAATCTATTTTGTATGTATAGGTTTATCTTCCTCTCCCCTAGCTCTGACCCCTGACAAAGCCTAGATGCAGTGTCACTCTGGTAGCGATCAACATCGCAGTGCCCAAATCTTGCCTTCAAAATCCCATTTCCCCTTAAAGGCAGGGAGGCTGCTTGGAGAAACAGCAGGTCTGGGTAGGAAAGCAAAAGGCAGGAAGGTGCAGGAGGGCACAAGAGAGGCCAAGGGGCCTGTCCCTGGGGGGCCGGAGCCAATCAGAAGAACCTTCCCTGGCTAAATCCAGGATGATTTCAACACCAAAAAGATAACGACTGAATTGACAATACACTGAATAAATATAAATCATTGACTCTGTCTACTACAAAAAGAAAGACAAAACTCTTTTCTTTAAGAGGAATGCCAACTAATAAATGTAAAAGAGGGAACAATAAGACAGCCATGACTTTGCAATAACCAATGAAATACATGATCAAAGTGAAGCCTCTAAAACCATAGGGTGGACGCTTATTAGGGTACAAAATACCACACAGCATGCCACTGCTCAGATGCTTAATATTCATAAGAAGAAAATAAACTCTGCAGTACAGGGATCTGGTAGTCATTCCTTAACAAATGGTAAAACTCACCATCATGAATCATAGGACAACCTGACCTTGCAGCCCCCAGGGAATGCACTGTGAGTTCACAGCATCAACTACAAGGTATTCCTGCCAAAAAGCTTCTCTCTGGGTCAAACTGACCCTTTAACCCTCACTTCCAGTGAAAGGAACTACAGGAGATAGAAGAACAAGCTAAATGACACCACAGCGAAACAGACAAATCCAAAATGTGGGATGTTCAACAAGACAAGTGGCCCAATCTCTTCAAAAAGTCAACACCACAGGGAAAACAAAAGTGGATACTGCTGTAGATTAGATTAGAAACCTAGAAAGAACAATGAAATATAATTCAGCCTAAAGGAAGGAAATTTTGACATGGAATATAACATAGGTAAATCTTGAGAACACCATGCTAAGTGAAATAAGCCAGTCACAAAAGGACAATTACTATATGATTCCACTTACATGAGATCTAGAGCAGCCAAAATCATGGAAACAGAAAGTAGAAGGGTTGTTGCCAACACCTGGGGAAAGGGGAAATGGGAAGTTGTTCAATGAGTCCACAGTTTTGGTTTTACAAGATGAAAAAATTCTAGAGATCTGTTGCATAACAATGTGAACATATTAACACTACTGAACTGAATGGTTAAGACGATAACTTTTATACTACGTGGTTTCTTTAACCACATTAAAAAAACAACTAAAAAGACACAACATACAAATGAAAAACATGAACCTTGTGTCTCAGGGGAGCTCAAGGAGGGGCAGATTTAAGGGAACAGACAGTTGGTGGAGCAGTCAGAACACGCACAACACATACTAAGTTCCATGGGTGTGGTTCACGGAGCCCTAAAACAATTACAACAGTAACATCAGAGATCACTGATCACAGATCACCATAACAGATTTAATAATGAGAAACTTTGAAACATTGCAAGAATTACCCAAATATGACACACAGAAACGAAGTGAGAACATGCTGTTGGCAAAATCATGCCAACAGACTTGCTTGGTGCAGGGCTGCCACAAACCTTCAATCTGTAAAGACACGGCATCTGCGAAGTGTGGTAAAGTGAATCTCAATAAAGCAAGGTCCCTGCAGTGGCTGGGCTCTGACTCCCTCTGTGCCATGCATCCCTGTGGCCGGGCTCCGACCCTCTCTGCGCCATGCAACCCCATGGCCGGGCTCCCACCCCCTCTGCGTCATGCAACCCTGTGGCCGGGCTCCGACCCCACTCTACGTCATGTAACCCCGTGGCCGGTTTGGGACCCCCTCTGCGTCATGCAACCCCGTGGCCGGGCTCTGACCCCCCTCTGTGTCATGCAACCCCGTGGCCGGGCTCCGACCCCCCTCTGCATCATGCAACCCCGTGGCTGGTTTGGGACTCCCTCTGCGTCATGCAACCCCGTGGCCGGGCTCCAACCCCACTCTGCATCATGCAACCCTGTGGCTGGGCTCCGACCCCCCTCTGCATCATGCAACTGCCTTGCTCCACTTCTACGTGTGCTGTGCATGCGCTAATACATTTCTCTTCTCTTGATAATCTGTCTTTGGCCAGTCTAATTTACTAATTAATTTAGGCGAGAGAATCTAAGCTGGGTAGGAGGAAAAGATCCTACACAGCAAATACAGCAAAATAATCACAACCATTGAATCTGGGTGCAGCCGTAGTGACGTTTCTTTCCACTTTTCTGTAGGTTTGAAATTTTGCCCGGGATAAAGTGGAAAAAGTCTACGTAAGGAAACTATATACAAATTATTTTGTGAGGAGCAGTCCCTGTTGGTTTATCCTAAATCTGACGGGTACAGCTTTCACTGGTTTGCTGTTTAGGTGGTGAGATCTGGATACTATTCTTCTCCATTTATTTTGCAATTAAATTAAATCTGGCTTTAAAGACAGGCCAGAAGACAAAGGAGGAGCTCAAACTATGTCAGCCAGAGCCCTCCGTGTGTGCGCCTGGTTTTCATTCACACACGGAAATTCCCATTCCATGTGTCAGCACCACAGCACGATGACATTGTTCAGGTTGGTTAAGGATCCAGCCAGCTCTGAGCCTATGAAAGGCAAACAGCAAAACCCAAACAAATCCCAAAGCCACACTAGTAGGAGGCAGTGGATGAGGGAGGGAAGGAAGTTAGCAGATGTGCCAAGAGAGAAACAACCATTATAAAAGGAAAAGACAAGGAAGAAGGCACCGGCCTTGAAACCCGGAAAGAGAAAGGTAAGCTCTACCGAGAAGAGCCTGAGGAAACCCGCAGGAGGCGCACAGCTGAGAGAGCGATTAGGCGGAGAGCCACGTAACGTGGGAGGGAGGTGAGGCAGGTCTCGTCCTAGGAAAGGGGCCAGAGGGCACTGGGAATGGGTTTCTGTGGTTCTCAAATGACACAGAAGCCTCTGAGATGGGTTCCACAAGCTATCAGCGCCTCAGAGATACTGTACAAAAAGCACATTACCTTAATAGTAATGTAGTTTTTTAACGATTTGGACATTTTTTCTTCTTTGCCTTTCACGTGCAAATGCCCTGAAACAAAAACAAAAGCATTCAGTGTGAGCTGGGTGAGGAGGCTCTCTGGCCTCAGGGACACATGGCTTCCCGGGAAACGAATGGGAACCTGCACGTATCCAATGTACAGACCGGTGTATGTTGGTATAAACCTGCCCCCAAATCTTCACCCGTGCTGGGCCTTCTGGGAAGACACGACCTGCCCTTGTTCCATGGTTCAGGGACACAGCCCCACACCAAGGGCGGATGGCAGGGGTGTCCCAGCTGACTCAGAAGCTAAACAAGAACCAGCAACCGTGGTGCCGACAGCAGTATTTCATCTATTTTCCCCTTTCCTGTAATTCAGAGATACTGATTTAACGGACAGCATCCGAAGAAAAGACAAAGCTCTCATTTGGCAAATCAGGCACTTGGCGGTGAAGCTTGTTGACCGTTGTCCAAAAACAGAGTGGTGCTTGTGGGTCTCTGAGTGGGAAGAATCAGAGGTTCTGTGCAGTTGTTTTCACAGACTTTGATGACACGGGTATTATTTCATCCCCTATGTATGTGAAAGACAGGAGGAAAACCAAACCCATTTAAGGAATTCCTAAATCTGACCCTGAAATTCTCCCTGGCCTGTAGCTTTACAAGGCTCATCTCCAAGAGAAGTGCTTTCTGTTTCTAACAGAAGACTGTTCCTCTTTTTCTGACACAAATAGCAGTGCTCCAGGCCAGACATGGTGGCTCACACCCGTAATCCCAGCCCTTTGGGAGGCTAAGGCAGAAGGACCGCTTGAGCCCAGGAGTTTGGAGACCAGTCTGGGCAACATGGCAACACCCGGTCTCTACAAAAAAATTAAAAATTAGCTGGGCGTGGTGGGGCACACCTGCAGTTCCAACATCCCAGCAACTCAGGAGGCTGAGGTGGGAGGATTGCTTGAGCCCAGGAGGTTGGGCCTACAGTGAGCTACGTTCATGCCACTGCACTCCAGCCTGGGCCACAGAGCGACACTCTGCCTCAAAAACAAACAAACAAACAAACTGATTAGATTGTGATTTCCAAAAAACATATATAACTTTGAATATGTAATTCTATATAACGTGATTACACCAAAATTGGTATTTGGAAAACGAAACACATTTGCTAAGGCCTGAATGTTTATGTCCTCCCATATTCCTGTCTAAACCCTCAGCCCTCAGGTGATGGTAACTGAAGGCAGGGCCTGTGGGAGGTGATAAGGTCACAGGGGGCAGAGCCAGTGTGAATGGAATCAGTGCTCTTATAACAGAGGCCCCTGGAGAGCTGACAGCCATCTATGAATGGGAAGCAGGCCCTTCCAGGACACCGAATCTGCCAGTGCGCGGACGCAGGACTTCCAGCCAGCAGAACCGGAAGGAATTCATTGCTGCTGTTCATAAGATGCCCGCTTTTAGTATTTGGCTATAGCAGCCCTAACAGGCTCGGATAGCGTCTGCCCACGTAGCTCTTCCATCCACTAGGTACAGGAGAACAAGTGTAACTTCTCCTGTGTCAGGAGACACTGATGTTTTGTTTGGGGCCAAACTAGGATGAAAAAGATTCCTGGTACCTTAATAGGTGGTAAAAAACAAAACAAAACAAAAATCACTGGAAAGATAGCAACAAAACTTTCCCACGGGGAGCGGTGGCTCACGCCTACAATCCCAGCACTTTGGGAGGCAGAGGTGGTGGATCACTTGAGGTCAGGGGTTCGAGACCAACGTGGCCAACATGGTGAAACCCCGCTTCTACTAAAAATACAAAAATTAGCCGGGTGTGGTAGTGTGCACCTGTAGTCCCAGCTACTACGACAGCAGAGGCAGGAGAATTGCTTGAACCCAGGAGGCAGAGGTTGCAGTGAGCTCAGATAGTGCCACTGCACTCCCAGCCTGGGGGATGCAGCGAGACTGTCTCAACAACAACAACAACAACAACAGCAAATGCTTTCCCATTCCCACATTAGAAGGTGAAGATGGGCCGGGCGCGGTGGCTCAAGCCTGTAATCCCAGCACTTTGGGAGGCCGAGATGGGCGGATCACGAGGTCAGGAGATCGAGACCATCCTGGCTAACACGGTGAAACCCCGTCTCTACTAAGAAATACAAAAAATAGCCGGGCGAGGTGGCAGCGCCTGTAGTCCCAGCTACTCGGGAGGCTGAGGCCGGAGAATGGCGTGAACCCGGGAGGTGGAGCTTGCAGTGAGCTGAGATTGTGCCACTGCACTCCAGCCTGGGCTACAGAGCGAGACTCCGTCTCAAAAAAAAAAAAAAAAAAAAAAAAAGAAGGTGAAGACGACCTCCGTTTCTAGACCCCCGCCCTCCTCATTACCTGACAGGGCCAAGCGTCACACAGCTAAGGCTGCCCTTTCTGCCCCCAGCTCCACACTCGCTGAAGGGCTCATGGCAGGTCGTGGTGTCAATGACAAACCCTGACCCACTGAAGAGGATAAATCTGCAGACAGAAACGCGCCTGCGGAGGGAGCAACGCCAGCTCCTCAGACAGTTCAGCGGGTGCTGAACTGAGCCCTGAACGAAGTCACTGAGGAAGTGACTTTGGGGCAATCAGCCTCATCTATTTACTTTCATGAAGAAACCCAAGTGAACCCTGCTGCGGACCAGAAAACCGGAGCACTTCTGCATTTAATGTCACCTCACTGTGACATCCTAGTTTCCCTTTCAAGGATTTCAAAAACTAGTACTTGTTAATTTTCTGTATTTTAGATGTCGAAGTTTGCATCTCCAAATCCTATCACTCTTTATATTTCTTCGTCTCAAATACCTTAGCTGGCCATTCCCAAAACGTAGTAAGACTAGCTAATTCTGGCCCTGTAAACTTGGAAATGACTCTTCCAGTGCATCCAGGTGAATTCCAAAACTGCTGGGTTCGAGGTGTTGCTTAACTCATGGTGTAGCATCCACTTCTGAGAGCAGACAGCTGGGGTTCATCAATGAGGGGTTTGAACAGTGGAAGAAAGGGCAATATTTTTAGAAGATGGCAGAGATGTCTAGTGACAATATTATAGCTTCAGAAAGGAGTGTTCATAATTATCACTACATTGTACTACTTGAAGTTCCTTCCTAATAGTTTTACTTGAAAGAAATATATATAGAACAGCATTGCCAAACATTTTCCATATTCTAGTCAGTTCCAAAAAGGTATAATCATTGCTGCAATCCAAGGAATTTCATGTCCAAATGATTGAAACTCAAAAATAATTTAAGAGGCAAATCCATTTCTTGACCTATTAGCTGATCTATTATGTATTTCCAAATGTAGCTGTTCCGCCGGCAAAGGCAGAACTGCCAGCATTGAAACAGAACAAATTAAATCTGAAGTTAGTACTTACCAGAATGCAGAAAATAATTTCCCCACTGCTCGCACTGATGAAAGACTTCACACTGTGCAATTTCGTTTTCATGATGTGGAAAAGCTAAATCTATCCCACCTGAATGGATATCCAGTTGACTTCCAAATACCATACTGCAAGACACAGTACAAAGTAGTGAATTCATTCAATCAAGCAGCATATTTTCTTCTAACCTCAACTATTTACTCCTTCCAACCTTTTTAATTCAATGAATAAATGAATCGCAATTTTAAAGCAATTTGCATGATAATTTAACTGATTCAAATGAAAACTGAAATCCTGTCATCACAAACCCATAATTCAGGACTTTTCATCCTAGTAAAGGGACATTCTTTTGGCTCCAGGTTTGTTCATTTCTTTTGTTTTCTTTCTTTCTTTTCTTTGCTTGCTTTCTTTCTCTATTTTTTTAACTCAAAAAGTTACCTTTACTTACTTTCTTTATTTTACTTATTTATTTATTTTTGAGACGGAGTCTCGCTCTCTTGCCCAGGCTGGAGTGCAGTGGTGTGATCTTGGCTCACTGCAAGCTCCACCTCCTGGGTTCATGCCATTCTCCTGCCTCAGTCTCCCTAGTAGCTGAGACTACAGGAGCCCGCCACCGCGCCCGGCTAATTTTTTGTATTTTTAGTAGAGACGGGGTTTCACTGTGGTCTCAATCTCCTGACCTCATGATCCGCCCGCCTTGGCCTCCCAAAGTGTTGGGATTACAGGCGTGAGCCACGGCACCTGGCCCACCTTTACTTCCTTTCAATAGGTAGAGTTTAGTGACTTTCCAACTTTAACAAGAGATGGAACTATAAAATCGTGACAATGTTTCATCTGGCTTTTGCAAAGGTAACTAACAGTCACACGGGAATAACAAGGTAAGAGAGTTCAAAGCAACACATGTTGCCATTTCTCCTACAGCACTGCGCTATGCATCCACAAAAACCGCATTTTTGCAAACCCACACACTAAAATTAATGGGGTTGATGGGGGAAATGAGGCTGGGCCAGGCCAGTCGAAGCTGTGTCCCTGGACCAGCTGCAGAAGCATGGCGATGCGGCAGTCTGGTGGAGTTTCTTAAGATGATAGATATAGAAGTTTCTAAGGTGCCAGCACCCCGTGGAGGTCCTTCCTGCTCCCACTGGTCTGGCTCCCCGTGCTCGGGGAAGGACTGCACACACAGGTCTAAAGCCTGAGGAAACGGGCATCACAGAAACACATGTTGTAGCGTGACGTTCTAAGATTTTTACATCTTAGCGATGGGTCGTCTCAGGGTAACTCTAACATTCCCTGCAGTTCAAATGCTGGGAAGGAGACCGTGGGACCAGGACTGGGGAGGAGATGGGAGGGGCCTCATTTGTATCTGGATGGGCAATTCTCCTTTACGAAGATCTGAAGCCAACACAACGACGTGAAAGTTTCACAAGCTGAACGATGGGGCCACAGCCTTCACGATGTTAGTCTCGCTCCTGATATCTACATTAATACCTATTTTAAAATCAGAGAAGGCTCAGAAGGAACAACAATGGTCTCTTCATTATTTAATCTTTCTACAAAAATAAGGAATTTCACAGTAACATTACACGTCAAACTCACAAAATGTTTTCTACCTGCTTTAGAGAAATTATTTGAATCTAAAAAACGAATCTACAACCCAGTTTATATGCCACGGTCTGCTATTAAGTATTGATAAACACACAGAAGAAAAGTGTGACTGGTGACTGGACATTTTTAATTTTTTTTTTAATCAAAAGTCAGGCCCATGCTTCCTACTAACAACAGAGCTTGAGGTCTGAGGAATGACAGAAGCATTTCCAGATGAGCTGCATAACCACAGTGCAAGTGGTGGGGGCTTAGCAGCAAAGGGAATCTCTTTCTGGGTCTTAAAGAAGACCCACCAAAATTCAGACAGGCAGGTCGTGGGGGACAAGGCTTCCCTCCTGGTGGAATGCAGAGACCCCACTCAGGGCTGAATACTCACTCAAGCAGTCTGGGAGTCCATGAATGGAGCAAAGTCCTCGCATGGGAGATAATTATCCCCACCCAAGCCCCTCTACACCCAGCCAGGAAACACATCCCTGATACGATGCCCACAGGTTTCGGGGTGACTGGATTTATCCATCTGAAAATCTTTGATGTAGCTAATAGCTTAAAATGTTTACCTTAATCATCCTTTCCTGTGTTTGTAAGTTTTTTAAAACTGTTCATTAAAATAAATATTTGCTATCAAGTATACTAAAATCCATGAGTTAACAGTGATTTTTGTTTAAACCCCGTTTCTGGTGTTGTTTCCAAGATGGCCAAATAGGAACAGCTCCAGTCTACAGCTCCCAGCGTGAGCAACGCAGAAGAAGAGTGATTTCTGCATTTCCAACTGAGGTACCAGGTTCATCTCACTGGGGCTTGTTGGACAGTGGGTGCAGCCTATGGAGTGTGAGCTGAAGCAGGGTGGGGCATCGCCTCACCTAGGAAGCAGAAGGGGTCAGGGAATTCCCTTTCCTACCCAAGGGAAGCCATGACAGACGGTACTTGGAAAATCGGGATACTCCCACCCTAATACTGCGCTTTTCTAATGGTCTTAGCAAACGGCACACCAGGAGATTATATCCCATGCCTAGCTTGGAGGGTCCCATGAACATGGAGCCTCACTCACTGCTAGCACAGCAGTCTGACTGCAAGGCAACAGTGAGGCTGGGGGAGGCTCAGCGTCTGCCATTGCTGAGACTTGAGTAGGTAAACAAAGCAGCCAGGAAGCTCGAACTGGGTGGAACCCACCACAGCTCACGGAGGCCTGCATGCCTCTGTAGACTCCACCTCTGGAGGCAGGGCATAGCTGAACAAAAGGCAACAGAAACTTCTGCAGACTTAAACGTTCCTGCCTGACAGCTTTGAAGACAGCAGTGGTTCTCCCAGCACCGAGTTTGAGATCTGAGAACGGACAGACTGCCTCCTCAAGTGGGTCCCTGACCCCCGAGTAGCCTAACTGGGAGACACCTCCCATTGGGTGCCAACTGACACCTCATATAGCCAGGTGCCCCTCTGAGACAAAGCTTCTAGTGGAATGATCAGGCAGCAACATTTGCTGTTCTGCAATATTTTCTGCTCTGTAGCCCCCGGTGGTGATACCCAGGCAAACAGGGTCTGGAGTGGATCCAGAAAACTCCAACAGACCTGCAGTTGAGGGCCCTGACTGTTAGAAGAAAAACTAACAAACACAAAGGACATCCACACCAAAACCCCATGTGTACCTCACCATCATCAAAGACCAAAGGTAGATAAAACCACAAACGTGGGGAGAAAACAGAGCAGAAAAGCTGAAAATTCTAAAAATCAGAGCACCTCTTCTCCTCAAAAGGAATGCAGCTCCTCGCCAGCAATGGAACAAAGCTAGACGGAGAAAGACTTTGACGAGTTGAGAGAAGAAGTTTTCAGACGATCGGTAATAACAAACTTCTCCGAGCTAAAGGAGGATGTTCGAACCCATCGCAAAGAAGCTAAAAACCTTGAAAACAGATCAGATGAATGGCTAACTAGAATAAACAGCATAGAGAAGACCTTAAATGACCTGATGGAGCTGAAAACCATGGCACAAGACCTACATTACGCATGCACAAGCTTCAGTAGCCAATTTGATCAAGTGGAAGAAAGGGTATCAGTGATCGAAGATCAAATGAATGAAATGAAGCAAGAAGAGAAGTTGACAGGAAAAAGAGGAAAAAGAAATGAACAAAGCCTCCAAGAAATATGGGACTATGTGAAAAGACCAAATCTACATCTGATTGGTGTACCTGAAGGTGACGGGGAGAATGGAACCAAGTTGAAAAACACTCTTCAGGATATTATCCAGGAGAACTTCCCCAACCTAGCAAGGCAGGCCAACATTCACAATCAGGAAATACAGAGAACGTCACAGAGATACTCCTCGAGAAGAGATACTCCTCAAGAAGAGCAACTCCAAAACACGTAACTGTCAGATTCACCAAAGTTGAAATTAAGGAAAAAATGTTAAGGGCAGCCAGAAAGAAAGGTTGGGTTACCCACAAAGGGAAGCCCATCAGACTAACAGCGGATCTCTCAGCAGAAACTCTACAAGCCAGAAGAGGGTGGGGGCCAATATTCAACATTCTTAAAGAAAAGAATTTTCAACCCGGAATTTCATATCCAGCCAAACTAAGCTTCATAAGTGAAGGAAAAATAAAATCCTTTACAGACAAGCAAATGCTGAGAGATTCTGTCACCACAAGGCCTGCCTTACAAGAGCTCCTGAAGGAAGCACTGAACACGGAAAGGAAAAACCAGTACCAGCCACTGCAAAAACATGCCAAATTGTAAAGACGATCCTTGCTAGGAAGAAACTGTATCAACTAATGAGCAAAGTAACCAGTTAACATCATAATGACAGGATCAGATTCACACATAACAATATTAACCTTAAATGTAAATGGACTAAATGCTTCAATTAAAAGACACAGACTGGCAAACTGGATAAAGAGTCAAGACCCATCAGTGTGCTGTATTCAGGAGACCCATCTCACATGCAGACACACACATAGGCTCAAAATAAAGGGATGGAGGAAGATCTACCAAGCAAATGGAAAACAAAAAAAAAGCAGGGGTTGCAAACCTAGTCTCTGATAAAACAGACTTTAAACCAACAACGATCAAAAGAGACAAAGAAAGCCATTACACAATGGTAAAGGGATCAATTCAACAAGAAGAGCTAACTATCCTAAATACATATGCACCCAATACAGGAGCACCCAGATTCATAAAGCAAGTCCTTAGAGACCTACAAAGGGACTTAGACTTCCACACAATAATAATGGGAGACTCACCCCACTGTCAACATTAAACAGATCAACAAGACAGAAAGTTAACAAGGATATTCAGGAATTGAACTCAGCTCTGCACCAAGCAGACCTAATAGACATCTACAGAAATCTCCACCCCAAATCAACAAAATATACATTCTTCTCAGCACCACATCACACTTATTCCAAAATTGACCACATAGTTGGAAATAAAGCACTCCTCAGCAAATGTACAAGAACAGAAATTATAACAAACTGTCTCTCAGACCACAGTGCAATCAAACTAGAACTCAGGATTAAGAAACTCACTCAAAATCACTCAACTACTTGGAAACTTAACAACCTGCTCCTGAATCACTACTGGGTACATAACGAAATGAAGACAGAAATAAGATGTTCTTTGAAACCAATGAGAACAAAGGCACAACATACCAGAATCTCTGGGACACATTTAAAGCAGTGTGTACAGGGAAATTTATAGCACTAAATGCCCACAAGAGAAAGCAGGAAAGATCTAAAATTGACACCCTAACATCACAATTCAAAGAACTAGAGAAGCAAGAGCAAACACATTCAAAAGCTAGCAGAAGGCAAGAAATAACTAAGATCAGAGCAGAACTGAAGGAGATAGAGACACAAAAAACCCTCCAAAAAATCAATGAATCCAGGAGCTAGTTTTTTGAAAAGCTCAACAAAATTGATAGACTGCTAGCAAGACTAATAAAGAAGACAAGAGAGAAGAATCAAATAGACGCAATAAAAAATGATAAAGCGGATGTCACCACCGACCCCACAGAAATACAAACTACCATCAAAGAATACTATAAACACCTCTACACAAATAAACTAGAAAACCTAGAAGAAATAGATAAATTCCTGGACACATACACTATTCCAAGACTAAACCAGGAAGAAGTTGAATCCCTGAATGGACCAATAATAGGCTCTGAAATTGAGGCAATAATAGCCTACCAACCAAAAAAACACCAGGACCAGACAGATTCACAGTCAAATTCTAACAGAGGTACAGAGAGGAGCTGGGTACCATTCCTTCTGAAACTATTCCAATCAACAGAAAACGAGGGAATCGTCGCTAACATATTTTATGATGCCAGCATCATCCTGATCCCAAACCTGGCAGAGACACTATAAAAAAGGAGAATTTTAGACCAATATCCCTGATGAACATCAATGTAAAAATCTTCAATAAAATACTGGCAAACCGAATCCAGCAGCACATCAAAAAGCTTATCCACCATGATCAAGTGGGCTTCATCCCTGGAATGCAAGGCTGGTTCAACTCATGCAAATCAATAAACGTAATCCATCACATAAACAGAACCAAAGACAAAAACCACATGATTATCTCAATAGATGCTGAAAAGGCCTTCAACAAAATTCAGCAGCCCTTCATGCTAAAAACTCTCAATAAACTACATATTGATGGGACATATCTCAAAATAGTAAGAGCTATTTATGACAAACCCACAGCCAAAATCATACTGAATGGGCAAAAACTAGAAGCATTCCGTTTGAAAACTGGCACAAGACAGGGATGCCCTCTCTCACCACTCCTATTCAACATAGTGTTGGAAGTTCTGGCCAGGGAAATCAGGCAGGAGAAAGAAATAAAGGGTATTCAATTAGGAAAAGAGGAAGTCAAATTGTCCCTGTTTGCAGATGACATGATTGTATATTTAGAAAACCCCATCGTCTCAGCTCAAAATCTCCTTAAGCTAATAAGCAACTTCAGCAAAGTCTCAGGATACAAAATCAATGTGCAAAAATCACAAGCATTCCTATACACCAATAACAGACAATCAGAGAGTCAAATCATCAGTGAACTCCCATTCACAATTGCTTCAAAGAGAATAAAATATCTTGGAATCCAACTTACAAGGGATGTGAAGGACCTCTTCAAGGAGAACTACAAACCATTGCTCAATGAAATAAAAGAGGACACAAACAAATGGAAGAACATTCCATGCTCATGGATAGGAAGAATCAATATCGTGAAAATGGCCATACTGCCCAAGGTAATTTATAGATTCAATGCCATCCCCATTAAGCTACCAATGACTTTTTTCACAGAATTGGAAAAAACTACTTTAAAGTTCATACGGTTTAAAGTTCAAAAAAGAGCCTGCATTGCCAAGACAATCCTAAGCCAAAAGAACAAAGCTGGAGGCATCAAGCTACCTGACTTCAAACTATACTACAAGGTTACAGTAACCAAAACAGCATGGTACTGGTACCAAAACAGAGATATAGAACAATGGAACAGAACAGAGCCCTCAGAAATAATACCACACATCTACAACCATCTGAACTTTGACAAACCTGACAAAAAAATGGGGAAAGGATTCCCTATTTAATAAATGGTGCTGGGAAAACTGGCTAGCCATATGTGGAAAGCTGAAACTAGATCCCTTCCTTACACCTTATACAAAAATTAATTCAAGATGGATTAAAGACTTAAATGTTAGACCTAAAACCATAAAAACTCTAGAAGAAAACCTAGGCAATACCATTCAGGCCATAGGCATGGGCAAGGACTTCATGACTAAAACACCAAAAGCAATGGCAACAAAAGCCAAAATTGACATATGGGATCTAATTAAACTAAAGAGCTTCTGCATAGCAAAAGAAACAACCATCAGAGTGAACAGGCAACCTACAGAACAGGAGAAAATTTTTACAATCTACCCAACTGACAAAGGGCTAATATCCAGAATCTACCAAGAATTTAAACAAATTTACAAGAAAAAATCAAACAACCCCATCAAAAAGTGGGTGAAGCATATGAAGAGACGACACTTCTCAAAAGAAGACATTTATGCAGCCAACAGACACATGAAAAAATGCTCATCATCAATGGCCATCAGAGAAATGCAAAGCAAAACCACAACGATATACCATCTCACACCAGTTAGAATGGCGATCATTAAAAAGTCAGGAAACAACAGGTGCTGGAGAGGATGTGGAGAAATAGGAATGCTTTTACACTGTCGGTGGGACTGAAAACTAGTTCAACCATTGTGGAAGACAGTGTGGCGATTCCTCAAGGATCTAGAACTAGAAATACCATTTGACCCAGCCATCCCATTACTGGATATATACCCAAAGGATTATAAATCATGCTGCTACAAAGACACATGCACACGTATGTTTACTGCAGCACTATTCACAATAGCAAAGACTTGGAACCAACCCAAATGTCCACCAATGATAGACTGGATTAAGAAAATGTGGCACATATACACCATGGAATACTATGCAGCCATAAAAAAAGGATGAGTTCATGTCCTTTGTAGGGACATGGATGAAGCTGGAAGCCATCATTCTCAGCAAACTATCACAAGGACAAAAAACTAAACACTGCATGTTCTCACTTATAGGTGGGAATTGAACAATGAGAACACTTGGACACAGGGTGGGGAACATCATACACCGGGGCCTGTCATGGGGTTGGGGGAGCGGGGAGAGATAGCATTAGGAGATATAGCTAACGTAAATGACGAGTTAATGGATGCAGCACACCAACATGGCACATGTATACAAATGTAACAAACCTGCACATTGTGCACCTGTACCCTATAAGTTAAAGTATAATGGAAAAACAAAACAAACCAACCCCATTTCTACAAATAGGAAACATACGCGCAGTTATTCACTAGGGAGATCTGTAACAGTGAAACACTGGGAACAGTCTAAACGTGCGGCCGGGTACCCTGCTGCCTGCAGAGGGTCAGGCCAGACAAACCAGCACCACGGTAACAAACTAATCGTGTGCCAGGTGCGGTGGCTCACGCCTGTAATTCCAGCACTTTGGGAGGCTGAGGCAGGCAGATCACCTGAGGTCGGGAGTTCAAGACCAGCCTGACCAACATGGAGAAACCCATCTCTACTAAAAATACAAAATTAGCCGGGGTGGTGGCGCATGCCTGTAATCCCAGCTACTCAGGAGGCTGAGGTAGAAGATTCACTTGAACCCGGGAGGTGGAGGTTGCGGTGAGCTAAGATCGCGCCATTGCACTCCAGCCTGGGCAAAAAGAGCGAAACTCCATCTCAAAAAAGAAAAGAAAGAAAACTAACCGTGGCAAGCCCCATGGGCAGCTGCGTGACACAGGGCACGGGTGGTATGCTGCCTTTCACAGGCCCCACCTAAGGGGCCCCTGGCTGCGGGCAGAGCCATAGGGTGTGGACACCTGAGGCATGTCCAAAGGGGACCAGAGAGAAGGCGGAGAAGGCTCCGGTGAGAGGCAGAAATAGGGACAGAGAGGGTGTTTCCAGAGCAGGGGATGCCACAGTGGGTCAGGAGAGCAGTGTTGTGGGAGAGCACCCTGGCGTATGAGTTGCCTGAACTAGAAGAGCTGGCGGGAAGGCGGAGAGGGATTTGGGGGCTAGAGAAGTGCAGAGCAAGGGGGGATGTAGGTGCGAGCACTCTCCTCCAGGGCCCCGAAGACCAGCAACTGCAGAGAAGGGTAAGGGCACAGGGCAGCTGCAAGTTTGAACCAAAAAGCAGCCCCTCCACTAAATGGGGAGTGCTGAGGTCAGGAAAGCTTGATGTGTCATGGGTTTGGTTCACCGCCTCCCATGGCCTGTCACACTCCAGGAAAATCTCTTCCCAAAAAACCACCTGTGGGCACACATGCCAGGCTGCACCTGTTCCCATGCACATCCTCTGCTGCCCTGAGCAGGCACCAGGGAAACGTGAGCCCCAACCCCCACGAAGCGGCAGGCACCTTACCTAGCGATGGCAGAGCACTCGATGTGCCAGCCCGGCCTCCCGGGTCCCCAGGGAGAGGCCCAGAACACCTCCTGGGGTTTGGCTGCCTTCCACAGGGCAAAGTCACTGGCATGACGCTTGTCAGAGTCCGCTGCAGATGACAAACAGTGCATCAGCGGAAGGAAGCTCAGTCACCCCACCATGGATAATCTTCACCCCTACCACACCTCCAGCTACCCCACCACGGAAACCTAGTCACCCCACCATGGGAATCTAGACAGTTACCCCACCACAGAAACCCAGTCACCCCACCACAGGAGCCCAGACAGTCACCCCCAGCACAGAAACCCAGTCACCCCACCACGGAAACTCAATCATCCCACTACAGAAACCCAGTCAGTCACCCCCACCACGGAAACCCAGACAGTCACCCCAACCACGGAAACCCAGTCAGTCACCCCCACCACGGAAACCCAGACAGTCACTCCCACCACGGAAACCCAGTCAGTCACCCCACCACGGAAACCCAGTCAGTCACCCCCACCACGGAAACCCAGGCAGTCACCCCCACCACGGAAACCCAGACAGTCACCCCACCACGGAAACCCAGACAGTCACCCCAACCACGGAAACCCAGACAGTCACTCCCACCACGGAAACCCAGACAGTCACTCCCACCACGGAAACCCAGACAGTCACCCCACCACAGACGCCCAGACTGTCACCCCTACCATGGAAGCCCGACAGTCACCCCACTAGGGAAACCCAGTCACCCCTACCATGGAAGCCCAGACTGTCACCCCACCAGGGAAGCCGAGGCTGTCACCACCACCTCACCCCCACCAGAGAAGCCCGATAGTCACCCCCACCAGAGAAGCCCGGATAGTCACCCCCACCAGAGAAGCCCGGATAGTCACCCCCACCAGAGAAGCCCGGATAGTCACCCCCACCAGAGAAGCCCGGATAGTCACCCCCACCAGAGAAGCCCAGATAGTCACCCCCACCAGAGAAGCCCAGCCAGTCACCCCCCACCAGAGAAGCCCAGCCAGTCACCCCCCACCACAGAAACCCAGCCAGTCACCCTCACCAGGGAAACCCAGCCAGCCACCCCGACGGAAGCCCCTCCAGCTGCTGGTGGGCAGCGCGCCCCGGGTTGCTTCTCTTTGAAGGAGCCCTGCACTTCTTGCTCACTCCTGTTCCACCCACGTGAGGAACAGGAGCACTGGCAACGCTTTCATCTCAGATGCCCCAGCGCACAGGGAGAGGTGGGCGGCCGGGAACCCACAGAGGCTCATTTCTCAGGAGTGTACTGTGGACTGGGTGGGGTTTTCCCATTTTTCCTTATTCTGTCTGACGAGAAATGCTCTGTTTATCAGTAACTGAGTTTCAGGGCTGTTTTTTTCCAAAAAGATACTAATCACACAGAGTGAAAAGCGTGTGATCATGTCAGGTAACGCGGCTGGTGGACCCGAGACTCTGAGCGACGTGCCCGTCACCGTGTGGCGAGGCTGCCAGGGGTGCATGCTCACCAAAACCCACTGTCCCATCTGCCCAGGACAGGCATGCCCCATGTGCACAACATCCTGACATCACCCTTTCCACCCGGGAGCGCTGACACAGGCGTCCACACCTTTGATGCATTTAAAGAGGTTGAACCGTTTTGGTGGACACGGATGCTTTTTCTGGGTCGGACTGGACGGGCTATGTTTTCATGGCTAGTCATTTCAGTAAGGATAACATCCTGTGGGCACCCGAGCAAACAGAACAATTCCTACACAGTGCATGGAAAATGAGAGCATCAGGAACACCCTATGCTGAAGGAAAATACTTAAGGACAGAAAATGTGGCCAAGGATTGTATTTCCAGCCAAACTGACTTTGAGGTGGAAGGCAGCACACTGTCATCCACAGGCACAAATTCAGGGAAGACTGTTCCCAAGAAAGGGCTCTTTCTTCAGAAAGTGCTGGGGAATGAGCTTCAAAAACAACAGGGAGAACGCAGACCTGGAGACGGCAGGAACGGGGGAGAGTGGACGGGGCTGCAGGTGGCAGCGCAGGCAGAGGCTGGGCACTCCGACACACAGACACGTGGGGGTGGGGAGGAGGCACGTGCATGGGAACCTTATAATCGTGGTCAAGCCTAGGGCACGGCTGGTCCATGATGGACTAAAGCAGGTGGATGCCCATTGGGTATCCTGTCACGCCTGGTGTCCTTCAAGGCCAGGATTACGGCCGGGCGCGGTGGCTCACACCTGTAATCCCAGCACTTTGGGAGGCCGAGATGGGCGGATCACGAGGTCAGGAGATCGAGACCATCCTGACTAACACGGTGAAACCCCGTCTCTACTAAAAATACAAAACTTAGCTGGGCGCGGTGGCGGGCGCCTGTAGTCCCCGCTACACGGGAGGCTGAGGCAGGAGAACGGCGTGAACCCGGGAGGCGGAGCTTGCAGTGAGCTGAGATCCGGCCACTGCACCCCAGCCTGGACGACTGAGCGAGACTCCGTCTAAAAAAAAAAAAAAAAAAAAAAGGCCAGGATTTGCCATAGGGGAAAAGGGAACCACACATGTGAACAGACAGAGGGATTAATGAAACCCCGTGGCCCGGAATTTGAGTATCAGTGCGACCTACGGAGCACATGTGTTCATCACCTCAGTCTACGGGAGAGGCCAGGAAACAACGACAGACGGCAGCAACGAGCATCCGTGGTGCCCACGCTGTGTTCTCAAAACACCGCTTCCCATCAAAAGAAAAACAGGAGCCGGGCGCGGTGGCTCACGCCTAGAAACTCAGGACGACTTTGGGAGGCCGAGGCGGGTGGATCACCTGAGGTCAGGAGTTCGAGACCAGCCAGACCAATATGACGAAACCGCGTCTCTACTAAAAATACAAAAATTAGCCGGGCATGGTGGCAGGCACCTGTAATCCCAGCTACTCTGGAGGCTGAAGCAGGAGAATCGCTTGAGCCCGGGAGGCAGGGGTTGCAGTGAGCCGAGATCACGCCATTGCACTCCAGCCTGAACAACAGTGACACTCTGTCTCAAAAAAAAAGGAAAGGAAAGGAAAGGAAAGGAAAAGGAAAAAGAAAGGGAAAGGGGAAAGGGGAAAGGGGAAAGGGGGAAGGGGAAAGGGAAAAGGGAAAGGGAAAGGAAGAAAAGGAAAGAAAGAAAAGAGAAAAATGGGGCTCCCAGGAAAAACAGCTTATTTCAAGATGAGCCACGAATATCTTATCGGACAGCCACAAAACTATCAACTACAACAGGGCTGAGTGTTAGGGACCTGAGAGTTGCTCCCATCAGCAAAAGCGGGGGCAAGCCGAGGCTCAATAAGGTGACGGCAGCAATGGATTAAAACAGCACGTGTAGTGAAGCCCACGAGCTCTTAACAATGAAAGAACAGGAACTGGTCACCGCCACAGGAAGATATGAAAGCCAACTCCTTATTTTGAAAACTGGTCAATTAAGGAAAAGGTCCTACCTTTCTTATACAAACTGTACCACTGAGTAAGCAGATGACAGTCTGCCTGTATAAAAGTATTCCAGCAAATGGGCCAGGCGCGGTGGCTCACAGCTATAACCCCAGTACTTTGGGAGGCCAAGGGGAGTGATCACCTGAGGTCAGGAGTTCAAGACCACCCTGGCCAACATGGCGAAACCCCATCTCTACTAAAAATACAAACATTAGCTGGGTGTGATGGCATGCCCCTATAATCCCAACTACTTTGGAGGCTGAGGCAGGGAGAATTGCTTGAACCTGGGAGGTGGAGGTTGCAGTGAACCGAGATCATGCCACTGCACTCCAGCCTGGGCAACAGAGAGAGATTCCATCTCAAAAAACAAACAAACAAAAAAGGCATTCCAGCAAATAAAGCAGAAATGATAGAATGGGAGTCGCGCCACCGTGCAACCTCTTTTTTGCAGTGAAGGATCTAAGCCTAGAGCGGCCAGGGCTGCTCACACACAGAGAGGTACAGCCCTTAGGTGTCTCCCAGTGAGGAATACACCAACTACAAAGTAGCCTTCTCCAGAAATTTAGAACTGGATTAAGCCTCTAGATTCAACTACCAATTTGCAAAAAACACACAGGACAGAGGGCAATGTTACAGACACTCCAAAACTCAGAGCAGGTGAAATCCCACTGCAGGAACCGTGAGACACATGATGTTTCTCCCGCAAATGAGCAGCAAGGAGGAAAAGCCAGGGGAGGGACGTAAGGACTAAAAAGAAGAAGACACAAATAAGAAACAGCTAAGGCTAAGTGTCGTGTTTAGGGACACGTGTTTGAGCAATTAAACCCACTCAGAAAGATGAGGAGGTAGCCGCTGTCAGTTAGGGCAGTAGTTGCCCCCAAAGCAGGGCAGGGAGGCTGGTGGCCAGGGCGTGGGACCCGGAGGACCCAGGTGCCTTCACTCCCTTGCCATTGTTGTCTCTTTCCACTAGGGGGTGACCGCAGGGTCTCCACTGAACACAAATTCACTGAGCTGGGCATTTTTGTTTGTTTGGTAGAGACAGCAAGGGGTCTCACTACATTGCCCAGGCTGGTCTTGAACTCCCGGGCTCAAGTGATCCTCCCACCTTGGCCTCCTAAAGTGCTGGGATTACAGGTGTGAGCCACCATGCTCAACCAAGCTGGACATTTTTTAATAGTGTTTTCTATTGTGTTATTATAACAATTTAAATTTAAAATTAAAAAGAAAACACCATTGCTTTGGAAATAACATACACTAACGCATTAAAATCTTTTTTCACCATATGTAAAAATGGTGGTTTTATTATCTTTGTTTTGTATAAGTCTATTTCCTAATTTTGTACCATTATAAATTATATAAATATGTTGCTTTTGCATAAGAAAATATTTATTTTAAAAAGCACGGCTGTGAAGATGTGGAATGACGGAATCATTCCTCACTGGTGGGGATGCAAAATGGTGCAGCCACTCTGGAAGAAGCTGGGCAGTTTCTTACACAAATAAGGCTCTTCCCAGAGGACCCAGCAATTGTGCTCCTTGGTATTTGCCCAAATGAGCTGAAAACCTGCACATGGATGTTTACAGCAGCTTTATTCATAATTGCCAAAACTCAGAAGCAGTGAAGATGCCCTTCAGTAGGTGAGTGGGTAAGCTGCTGTAAATTCAGACACTGGGATGTGACTCAGTGTTAAAGAGAAACGAGCTCTCAGCCATGAAAAGACATGGAGGAAAATTACTGTGTATTCCTAAGTGAGAGAAGCCGTTCTGAGAAGGGTGCACAGTATATGACTCCAACTATACGACAATCTAGAAAAGGCAAAACTAGAGACTGTGGGAAGACGAGGGATTTCCAGGGATGGGAAAGAGGGAGGGATGAGCAGACGGACCACAGAGGATTTTTCAGGGCAGTGCAAGTATCCTGTATGATGCTGTAACGGTGGAAACATGTCACTACACATTCACCCAAACCCAGAGCACACAGCGCCGAGAGTGAACCCTGACGCCAACTCCGGTCTCTGGGCGAACCTGATGTGTCAATGCGGGGGGGATGCTGACAGTGTGGGGGACGATGTGGAGGGTAGCAGGTAGAGAAGAATTCTCCGTACCTTACTCTCAAATTTGCTGTGAAGCTAAAATGGCTCTAAAAAACAAATCTATTAAATAAATAATTTTTAAAAACCTTCCTGATGCCAGAATGTACAACTCTCAGAAACTTCTCCACATGTGTTAAGCACAGCCCACATGGCCTGCTGGTAGCCACGCCTCACACGTGGAAGACATGAGCTTCCGTGTTCCGGCCCGTGCAGGGAGTGGGACAGGACAGCACAAAGGGTGAAGGAACGAACCGGAGGGGTCAGTGCTGTGGATGATCAGGATTCATCAGCACAGTTTATGGGGCAGAAAGACAGTGCCTACAACCAGAAACACCTTGAACAATCTTTGGGGTTTGTCCCTGTTATTCTTGTTTGGTTCCGTTAAACACTACGCTTTTCAAATTATTTTAAATTTAGTTCCATATACTACACTTACTATTTCTTCTCCATAAAAATGGTTTTGACCTAATAACTCCCTGGAATAGAATAGAGCAAGGAAGAGATTCAAATAGATTGGAAGTTTAACACATGGTTAAGACACATATGGGAATTAAACGTACGGTAACAGCAAAACACAGAATGCGGAAATATGACGGACGTGTATGAGGTTTGCATGTGTATGTGTATGTGTATGTTGCATGTGTACGTGTATGAGGTTTGCATCCTGGGAAGGAAACAGGAGACCAGCACTGTCTCCAGGGAGTGCAGCCAGGCGCACTGGTGGCGGAGGTGGACGATGCTCTACTTGCCATTTGAACTTTATGCCTCACAAGCTGGAGTCATCCAGAGAAACCGAATTAAATTTAAAACACAGGTGGCACCTGGGTACCGCCAGTGTCTGAGCAAATGGAGGGATCTGCGCTCCAGATCTCATCTCCCCAGAACTGGGACCCGAGGCAGAGGTCAGGGACCCACAGGGCTGAGCCCGGCCAACCCACCTGGCTCTCCGACTGGACCAGGGACCACGCCGACCAGTTTGCCATACTTGTCTCCTCTAGACTTCAGATCGAAGTAGACATTGCCTGTTTATAAAGGCAATTATGAATCCATCACTTCTCAGTCTAAATATCAGCATATAGACAAGCTTAACATCTAACAAGTAATTAGAATGTAAATACAGAACATAGCATTTGGCCCCAATATACATATATAGTATTTATATTTTTATAGACAGGGTCTTGCTATGTTGCTCAGCCTGGAGTGCAGCGGTACAATCATAGCTCACTATAGCCTTGAACTCCTGGGCTCAGGCAGTCTTCCCACCTCAACCTTCCCAGTAGGTGGAACTACAGGCAGGACACCATGCCTGGCTTTATATATATATATATATATATATATTTATATATATATATATATTTTTTTTTTTTTTTTTTTTTTGAGACAGAGTCTCGCTCTCGCCCAGGCTGGAGTGCAGTGGCTGGATCTCAGCTCACCGCAAGCTTCGCCTCCCGGGTTCACGCCATTCTCCTGCCTCAGCCTCCCGAGTAGCTGGGACTCCAGGCGCCCGCCACCTCGCCCGGCTAGTTTTTTGTATTTTTTAGTAGAGATGGGGTTTCACCGTGTTAGCCAGGATGGTCTCGATCTCCTGACCTCGTGATCCGCCCGCCTCGGCCTCCCAAAGTGCTGGGATTACAGGCGTGAGCCACCGCGCCCGGCCTGGCTTAATATATTTTTTAACCAGAATTAAAAACAATACTATACGATAAATGCACGATTTGGACACATCATGAGTACACAGATATGAAAGTGAAAACAGAAATGTAAGTTCTCTGGAAACTGCTGAGACAATTATTTAATTAGAAAAAAGAAAGTGTCATCGCTGACCTTCATTTAGAGCTTGGGCTTTGTGTTCCCTGCCAGGTAACAAAGACACTCTCTCTTTATGTCACACACCAGCTGGCAAAGACACGCCTGCTTTCCCCAGTCATCTTCTAAAACCACCTTTTCACTCAGACTGAAAACAGCGCCTGGCTGGGCACGGTGGCTCGTGCCTCCAATCCCAAAACTCTGGGAGTCCGAGGCAGGAGGATTGTTTGAGCTGACGAGTTCAAGACCAGCCTGGGCAACATAATGAGACCCCATCTCTACCAAAAAACAAAACAAAACAAAACAAAACAAAATCATCTGCATACTGAAGCATCTGTGAGGCTGAACGCCAAGGTCCACTTTGCAGACTGAGGTCAGAAACCTTCGCCAGAGCCTCCTGCAAGCCTGGGCTGCCCTTGCCACTTCCACCACAAAGCCTTGGAAAGCAGAGCTGGGGAGGAGGCGCTCAGAGTGGGAGCTTTGTCAGGAAGCCAGCGCCACCAACCCATGCTCCAAAGCTGCCAGGCTGCAGCCGCTGTGTGTTCCAGGCCACGTGTCTCCCTGGGAAGGAGGCAATGCTCACCTGGGCTGCGACTATGGCCACTCTCAGTACCACAGATCTGCAGTCACCATCCAGCACCCTCGAACCACACAGCAGCATGTAGCTGTCCTCAGGGCCCAGGTGTGGGTGCAACTTTTAGCCTTTACACAGTCTGAGCCTTCACGTTCTTCTTTACTAATGCAGCTACTATTTTGCATCAGTACTGTCCTTCTTACTGCAGACACTGGTCTTGGTAAGGTCAAGGAAACTTTGCAACTGGCAAACACAAGCTGCACTCAGGACCTGCCTCCAGTCCTAGGCGCACAGGAACAGGACAGGCCCCCCTGAGCACAGCGGTCACTGGTGGGAGGAAAGGGCAGGGTGGCTTGGGCAAACAAAGCCAGGAGATGTTTCAACAGAAAATGCTGCCCTGTCTCTGCAGCGTCCTCCCTGGTCATTCAGGGTTGACCACTAAGCTGGCGCTCGGTGCTGGGGATGAACCAGAGGACAGTACGGAGACATCCAGGCCCTGGGAGCTGCTTTCTATAAAGTCAGAGTACAAACAGTGCTTTGAGAGGGCTTCACTGGAGAGAATCCACTCCCTTAAACAGGGGAAACACTCCCCCTTCACTTTGGTTTATGTTATCAGTTTGCTGAACAAATTGTTTTTCAGCAAGAGTTCAAAGATCAAATTACAACCAAGCCCTTGTGGAATTGTCACAAAGTCCAAATTACTGGGGTTTGAGTGAATGTAAGTGTATTTTGAATTAATTATATTTATGCTATTATTAAATGTTTATAATAAAACACAATAATAAAACAACGAATAGCATTCATTCCTCAAGCCTGTGAAGACGAGAATCCCTAAAGACCCATGAACATTTATCAGTTTATTCCTAAAATAGAAGCACAGGCCCACATATCTTATTCCAAGTTACACGAAAGCAAAAAACTAATTCCTGTGTTTTCTGATGCAAAATCTAATTCAACCACCTAAGTCCTTAAAAAAGTTGTTCTTGGGAGGCTGAGGCAGGAGAATTGCTTGAACCCGGGAGGCGGAGGTTGCAGTGAGCCAAGATTGTGCCACTGCACTGCAGCCTAGGTGACAGAGTAAGACTCCGTCTCAAAAAAAAAAAAAAAAGTTTTTCTTGGAAACAAACTCTAAATATACCACATTAGAACAAATAAAAAGCTACTTCCATACGCAGAGCACACTGAACGGGTCCTCAGGGCCTCAGGTGCTCATCTTATGCCCCCAGGCAGGACTCAGGAAGGACAGGAACGTCCAGGGCAGTACTTCATGTTTTCTGACTCACTGCAACAAACATTCAATACCCGCGTATCTTCAGCCGTAGGCTGGATAGTCTAAGGCGTCATTCAATAAAGCAAAAGATTTTTATGGTCTGAGAATTTATGATCTAGACGGGGACAAAATACGAATACATTAAACAGTAAACTATGGCAGCGCGGAACTGGCTGCCAAATGGTACAGCAGAAATATCAAGGCTGAGAAAGTAAGTTCACTTTCAGCTGTGCTGGTGGAAGGAGAACTTCATGGAGAGATGAGACCGTGGTCAGGGTTTGTGGCCGGGATGGGTGGGATTAGTTCAGATTTATGGAGATGCTTCATCATGGAAGCAGCAAAACAGCAGGACGCCAGCCTTGCCTGGGGGCCACCAGACAGATTAGTATCCGCCATCTGAGGAAAGCACCGGCAGTGAGCAACATGCCAATCTAAACACAGACCGCTGCGCAGGAAAACTGACCTGTCGGAGTCTCGAAAAGAGTCTACATGTGCTTACCCAGGAAAAATGAAAAAGAGAAAAATAGAAAAAAGAAAGAGTCTATGAGGAGGGTTAAAAGTGAGGAGACTCAACCAACAAATGCATACGCAGCACATGCCCTTCATTAGATGACGGTGGGGGAGGCGGGTGTCAAGCATAAAAGAAACCTGGGGACAAGTGAGTACATTTAATATGGAGAGGACACGCGAAGCTAGCTGCAAATTCTTCACTGTCTTAGGTCTGACCATGACATTTGAACTCCTTTTATGCAGAGATGCATGTTGAAGTGTCAAGACTGATGCGTCAGAACATCTGCAATTCACGCTTTTTTTTTTTCTTTTCTGTCTCCCAGGCTGGTGTGCAGTGGGACAATCACGGTTCACTGCAGCCTCGAACTTCCTGGGCTCAGTCTATCCTCTCACCTCAGCCTCCTGAGTAGCTGAGTAGCTGAGACCACAGGAGCATGCCACCATGCTTAGCTAATTTTTATACTTTATTTTTGTAGAGAAGGGATCTCTCCATGTTGCCCAGGCCAGTCCTGAGCTCCTGGACTCAAGTGATCCACCTGCCTTAGCCTCCCAAAGTGTTGGGATTACAGGCATCAGCCACCATGCCCAGCCCTGCAACTCACTTTTTTATTTTTATTTTTTGAGACAGAGTGTCACAATGTCACCCAGGCGGGAGTACAGTGATGTGATCTCAGCTCACTGCAAACTATGCCTTCTGGGTTCAAGCAATTCTCATGCCTCAGCCTCCGGAGCAGCTGGGACCACAGGCATGCGATACCAGGCCCGGCTGATTTTTTGTCTTCTTAGTAGAAACAAGGTTTTAACATGTTGCCCAGGCTGGTCTCAAATTCTTAGCCTCAAGTGATCCACCTGCCTCCATCTCCTCAAGTACTGGGATTACAGGCGTCAGCCACCAAGCCTGACCCTGCAACTCACTCTTTTTTTCTTTTTTTTGCAGGGGGAGAGGGGACGGAGTCTTGCTCTGTCGCCAGGCTGGAGTACAGTGGCGTGATCTCGGCTCACTGCAACCTCCGACTCCCGCGACTCACTCTTAATGGCCTGTGAAAAAAATGATAGCCAAACAGAGGGGGATAACCTGGGCTGACTTTTAACAAGAAGGGAGCAGGTCTCTGGAGGTACTGTGTTTGTCCCCAACTTTTTGCAAGGAAAATATCTAAACAAAGATGAAATAACACATTGAACACCTGTATACCTATCACCTAGATTCCATGACTCTTACCAAGACTAGCTGTCCAGATGTTCGCCTCTCCCTGTGACTGCAAAAGATTTTTAGAAAGAATTAATTCAACCATTTTGCAAAGAGACACAATATCGTAGAAAACCCCACAATAGCTCTGCTGTTGGAATTCTATCAAGACAGACAGTAAATTTCAGTATGTTCCTGCAACTCATAAATATGTCCAGTTTCTCCAAATCCTAGTAATGTTTTAGTTTTAAGAACATAAACTGGCCGGGCACAGTGGCTCACACTTGTAATCCCAACACTTTGGGAGGCCAAGGTGGGCGGATCACAAGGTCAGGAGTTCAAGACCAGCTTGGCCAACATGGTGAAACCTCATCTCTACTAAAAATACAAAAAAAAAAAAAAAAAAAAAATGTAGCCGGGCATGGTGGTGCACACCTGTAGTCCAGCTACTCAGGAGGTTGAGACAGGAGAATCGCTGGAACCAGGAAGGCAGAGGCTGCAGTGAGCTGAGATTGCACCACTGTACTCCAGCCTGGGTGACAGAGTGAGACTGTCTCAGGAAAAAAAAAAAAAAAAAAAAAGGAACATAAACCCTACCTTTTGCCGTTGAATAAGCGTGCCCACGAGCAATGATTCCTTCAATGAAAGAAATTATCTGAGGAATATTTTCGGTTACCCTCAAGTACACCGCGGGTGGGAGAACCTGCAAGAAAGTGGAGACAGGACCGTGTTTCCGTTGTGCAGAAGCACAGGTCAGCCAGCACCAGCTGTCACTGCTCACCCCTGTCACCCTCATGGTAGGAACAACCAGCCCCACACTTCACCTTCAGGGCTGCCATGTCCTGCTTGAAGTCTTCCTCATAAAGACTGGCGAGGGAAGCGGGGGAAATATTCATCTGCAGAAGGATTAGATGTGCACGTTAATGAGGCTGGGGCATTCGCAACAGAACCACCCAGACACAAGAATGCCCACCTGCGCAACACGACAGCAAACGTACCCCGGCCACCTCCGGTGAATGGGCTGGCCGTGGCCCCACTGTGCCTCGGCCTCAGTTTGCCCCTGCCCACTCACCAAAGCGGGGGCACTCATTTTAGGTACTGAACTTACACTAGTAGCTTAGCTAGGAAAAAAGGCTTATTGACCTTGTCGTCTGGTTAGAGAAGAAATAATGTCACAATTTCCATAACATAGTAAAAAACAAACCAGCGCCGGGCGCGGTGGCTCACGCCTGTAATCCCAGCACTCTGGGAGGCCGAGGCGGGCGGATCACAAGGTCAAGAGATCGAGACCACAGTGAAACCCCGTCTCTACTAAAAAAAAATACAAAAAATTAGCCGGGCGCGGTGGCGGGCGCCTGTAGTCCCAGCTACTCAGGAGGCTGAGGCAGGAGAATGGCGTGAACCCAGGAGGCGGAGCTTGCAGTGAGCCGAGATCGCGCCACTGCCCTCCAGCCTGGGCAACAGCGTGAGACTCCGTCTCAAAAAAAAAAAAAAAAAAACAAACCAGCTGGGTGCAGTGGCTCACGCCTGTAATCCCAACACTTTGGGAGGCCAAGACAGGAGGATTGTTTGGGCCCATGAGGTTGAAGTTGCAAACGGCCATGATCGCGCCACTGCAATCCCACCCTTCGCGACAGAGCAAGACCCCATCTCCAAAACAAAAATAAAAATACAGTAAAACAGAAAACAAAACATACCAAGGATCCTCCACTTTTCTAAGACAAGGGCAAAATCATCTTAGTCTAGTCTGTATGATAAGAAACTGGGTTCCTATTTTATCCCTTAATCCTCAGGAGAAAAAAAATAGTCAAAAATATACTAAAGAGGCGGCTGGGCACCGTGGGTCACGTCTGCAATCCCAGCACTTTGGGAGACTGAGGCAGGCGGATGACACGAGGCCAGGAGTTCGAGACCAGCCTGGCCAACATGGTGAAACCCCGTCTCTGCTTAAAATATAAAAATTAGCCAGGCGTGGTGGTGCACACCTGTAATCCCACCTACTCAGGTGGCTGAGGCAGGAGAATCGCTTGAACCTGGGAGGCGGAGGTTGCAGTCAGCCAAGATGACACTCCAGCCTGGGTGACAGAGCAAGACTCTGTTCCAAAAAAAGAGAGAAAGATTAAAAAGGAACCTCTAAAGAAATATTTTGGAAGTAATTTAACACACTACAACTGGGATTTAATGGAATATTCATTCCCTCGGGTCCCATGGCTGGGTTTCTGGAGATAGACCACCAAATCAGTACAATCAATTCTGAATGTGGGTGCCTTGGGGGCACGCATCTGCAGCCCCTGCCACATTATCCAAGGAGGCTGGGACACAAGACGAGGTGTGCTCATGTTATTTCATAATTTCAATGAAAAACTCTACATGAACTGATGCACAAGACGCTGTGAAGCTCTGGAATGGAACTGGGCATCATAACTGCTGGTCCTGCTCAAGTGGCCCCCCCAAGCCCAGCACCTGCCACCTGCTAGTCTCCCTGAGCCGCTCCGTGCAGCCTCAGGAACCAAGTCTCCCCATTTCACAGGTGAAGGAATTACCACTCCAGAATACTGAGAAACTTTCTCAAGCACAATGCCACACGTGGGGCCAGGTCCCAACCATGTCACCCTGAGGCCCAGGGCTCTGAGTGGCACAGTCAACCCAGAAACCCCTGCCAATGAATACTCACTGAAGAAAGCAAGCTGGTAAACTCTGCATTGCTACCCAGGTGCTAAGCTTTGGGGTCTTGGGCAAATCAATAATCAAACCTCTTAGCCTTCAATTTCTTTACAGCATGGAGATATTCTACCTAATAACCCCCTTAGACTGCTAGAAGAACCACTGTGTGTATATATGGACAGGACAGCTTTGTAAAAGAAAACATTACATAAACACCACATTAAAGAGAGAAAATACACAGCACCCAGCACATAGTGGGTACTCCAAAACACTTCAGCCCCTATCTTGAGGTACAGCTTTGTGGCAAAGCAGACCTTTACAACAATAAATGAGTTAATATACGTCTATCCAGGGGACAAAAGATCAAAGGAAAAAGCCCAAAAATACTGTGTCTTCTTGCCGCTTCAGAAGTCTCAAATTCCACACAATTTTGGGCCTAAAGATCAGTGGATTGGCTGGGCGCGGTGGCTCACGCCTGTAATCCCCACACTTTGGGAGGCCGAGGTGGGCGGATCATGAAGTCAGGAGATGGAGATCATCCTGGCTAACATGGTGAAACCCCATCTCTACTGCAAATGCAATCAGCTGGGCGTGGTGGCAGGCGCCTGTAATCCCAGCTAATCAGGAGGCTGAGGCAGGAGAATCGCTTGAACCCAGGAGGTGGAGGTTGCAGTGAGCCAAGACTGCGCCACTGCACTCTAGCCTAGGCGACAGAGCGAGACTCTGTCTCAAAAAAATAAAAAATAAAATAATAAAAATCAGCGGGTTGCTTCATCTATATTTTTCTGCAGAGGTAATTTATTGCCAGGAGAAGTCAATGGCATAAAGGGGTGCCCAGACTTGGCTTCCCTCCCAGAAGGAAAATAGTGTGACCAGTTTTCTCACAAGCACGAACGTGGTTATAGATACATTTGCATCTTTTTCTTGGAATCCCCAAATGCAGCCCATTCCACACTCTGCTCTGCACTGCTGGCTTCTCTCCCTCGCAGCACACAGAAGCCCGGGACGTCCGTCGTGCTGGACACACTGAGCTGCCTCGCTCCTTCCAAAGTGGCCACTACTCCCCCTTCCAGATGTGTCACTACGTGCTTACCCAGTCCTGTCCCAATGTACATCCCATCCTCACCATGACAAACACGAGCGTGTACAGGTCACTTCGCAGCAGCCCAAGTGCACTTCTGAGCTACAGTCCTAGGTGGGAGACAGAGGGCACAGGCTCATGGACTGGGCCACTCATGTAAGCTGCCTTCCAAGCTGTGCCAGCTACACCCGACCAGCAACACCTGGAGGTGTCTGTCTTCCTCTGCCCTCACCCGCAGGGTCAGCCAACTTTCAGATGGTGTCAGCGTGACAGCTGAGAAGTGCTTTGCTCTAAGCTAAACTCTTTTATTTTGAGTAAATCTGAACATCTCACATGTTTAGGAACCGTCTGCATTAAATGACTTGTAGTTATCCATGCCTGTGTTTCTATTGAGTGGTGTAGGTCTTTTTCTTATTGGATGCTAGGAATTCTTTTTTTTTGAGACAGAATTTTGTTCTTGTTGTCCAGGCTGGAGTGCAATGGCACGATCTCAGCTCACTGCAACCTCTGCCTCCCAGGCTCAAGCGATTCTCCTGTCTCAGCCTCCCAAGTAGCTGGGACTACGGGTACACACCACCATGCCTGGCTAATTTATGTATTTTTAGTAGAGACGGGGTTTCGCCATGTTGGCCAGGCTGGTTTCAAACTCCTGACCTCCGGTGATCCACCTGCCTCAGCCTCCCAAAGTGCTGGAATTACACGTGTGAGCCACCATGCCAGGCCGGAAGTATTTTTATATTAAATAAATTAACTTTTTATCGCTGATATAATTTCCATTTTTCCACAGTTTTTTTCAACTTTATGGTTATTTCATGAAATGTAGAAACTGTCATTCTTATACTTAGCAATCTTTCATATTTCTGAATCTTTTCTCATAAATGGCTTCTAGATCTGGAAATAAACTTACAAAGCTTTCCCCAATATAAGGCTATCAAATTTGCCTTGGGGTCTCTTTTATATTTAAATCTCCGACCTGCCACGAATGTGGCTGTGAGGCCTCTATCCACCTCTGGCTTGTTTTTCTCCAGATGACCCCTAGCTGCCAACACGCTATGGAATAATCCACCTCCCACCCCCACTGATTTGAAATGCCATCTTTTATCATAAAACAAACTCCCGTTAATTATCGAGGCTGGTTCTGGACTTCTTGGTGTTTTCCATCGTCTGTTTATGCACGCTCTGTACAGGAGCTTAATTTCTGCAGGCTTTTGGGCACCAGGGGTTACAGGGTGCAGGCAGGAATCACGAGGGGCACAGACACAGGGACGATGGATGCGTCCACAGGGGCACCCCAGGTCAACATTTGGCAAACTGCACTTTTCTGAATAATACATGCAATCTATTGTAGGTCAATCCTACCACATAAAGCTGTGCAGAAAATATATACATATATAAAATATATATTACATACATAACACATATAATACATAACATATACTATGTATTATATAATATATAAAATACATAATGTATTGTATGCATAATATAATATAATGTATAATGTATAACATTATATGATATATATCATATATTATACCTTATATAGTAATATATAGTATATATGTTATATAGTATAATATAAATTATATAATAATTATATAATTAATTTTATAATAGGCATAATATATGATATATAGTATATAATATAAAATATATAATATGCCTTATATATTATAATATATATCCTACCACATATAGCTGTGCAGAAAATATATATTATATATAATATATGCAATATATGTAATATATTATAATGCATAATATATTATATGTGATGTATGTTATGATGTAATATGATACATGTTATATATCCTAATATATCATATATAATATACATATATGTATATATACATATATATGAAAACAAAAACCTTCTATAGCTTTTAAAATATTTTCATATTTGGTGGCTGGGTGCAGTGGCTCACGCCTCTAATCCCAGCACTTTGGGAGGCCGAGATGGATGGATCATCTGAGGTCAGGAGCTCAAGACCAGCCTGACCAACATGCAGAAACCCCGTCTCTACTAAAAATACAAAAAATTAGCCGAGTGTGGTGGCACATGCCTGTAATCCCAGCTACTCGGGAGGCTGAGGCAGAGAATCGCTTGAACCCAGGAGGCGGAGGTTGCGGTGAGCCGAGATCGTGCCATTG